TTAAATATTTAATCTCGCGAAAAAAGAGGACATTTTAGAGCGTCCTCGGAGGACGCAAATTTTTTAACGAAAAACGAGGACAATTCCTCCAAAAGAAGGACGTATGGTCACCTTAATATAAAATCCCATATTAATTTATTTAAATCATTAATTGTATCTTTTGTAACATATTCATATGAAGACGAGTATTTCTTCATGTACCGCAGAGTAATATACGAGATATTAGCGAGAGTTAGAGGTGCGTTATTAGAAAACTACTCATATTGTTCCTCAATTCCGGCTACTGACACAAATCCATGTATTCTAGGATTATTTCTAATTTCACATGCAAAAGTTTTCATAATATTTCAAAGAAAATCCCTATCAACACTATCATATGCTTCTGCCAATCAATAGACAAAATGGCCAAATTCCTTTGAAACTTATTGAAGATAAAGATATCATCTCTTATACTTACTATAGATTTTCATGGATATCAATCCTGATTGATCAGGGTGTATCAAATTTCAGTTCACATATTTAAAGCGATTAGCTAAAATCTTCGCTATTAGCTTATAAACAAAATTTAATAATGAAATAGGTCTTCAATTCTCTAGTTTTAGTTTTGTCTTTTTTGTATAGTAAGTAGTGTAATGACAGCAATCTGCATTGATTCCGATAAATTCTGCATTTTCATACACGCATTGAAAATTACATAAATCATCAATTTCAAAGTGGACCAAGTAATCGAAGAAAACTTCCTTGTTAGTCCACCTAACCAAGAAGCTTCATTGTTTTAAAAGCTTCATCAATTTCATCTATACTAATACATTTATTCAGTGCATACTTTTCTACTTGGGAGACGAAATTTGTCAATTTCTCTAAAGGTGAGTTTTGCAGGATTAATCTAGGTGTTTATTCTATTTATATAATAATGAAAAGACTTTTGTTCCTTGATATGTTTTAAATTTGTAAGGATTTGACCTTTTGTGATTCAAGACTTTTGAAAAACTATAATTTTCTAAATTAAAAAAAAATATTTGGAAGATGATCCTTCTGTTCAGTCCATTTAATACTCGATTTTACAATTTGTCCTTGTATTTTCTTTTTAACTATTCGTTCATATGATTGTTTCGTGGCGCATAATTTATTATAGCATTCTGTACAATAAGGTATTTCTATATACTACGCTCTTTCGTCGTGAATTTTAAAATTCAATCCAATATCGTTATCATCAGCTTTCATTTGTTTTGCACAGTAACATGATCAATGCTTAAACTTGACTTTGTCCCAGAATTGTAAAGCAGTACCGGTACTGGTATAGTTGGACCATACTGTTTCAGCTCCCCATTCCTTTTCCATAAATTGACTTCAGTAACAGTATCACTATGATTCTCTTGGAGGAATACCATATGTGTGCGATTAATTCTTAGAAACTCGAATATAGTTTTTAATGTTATTTTGCAAGCCGGTATTCATTGACAAGATAATTTGTGGTTGAGGTAAAAAAGCATTACGAATGATGTATTATTACAATACCATTAATTAAACAGACTTGCTCAATAGTTATTCAGTCTTTCAATCTTTTTCCGTGAGCAGCATTCTTCGGTAATCATCGGCTGCTCACTTTTGTGTTTTGAATTTGAAAGTTAATAAGTTGAACGTCTTGTATTGCTTTGTTTTCTTCAGAGTTTTACATGCTTTGACACACAGACCTCTAAAAACTCGATTTTGTAAAACCGATATAGCATGAAGTTCACTTTTGTCTACTGAACTCCATGCCACAATTCCTTACTGCAATGGGGCATAAAAAAGAGGAAAATAAACAGTTCGCATGACTTTTTTAGCTTTCCCTCATTGTCACGATTCCCACCGCCCTCGACAACTTTAATTTAAGGCAATTATTGCCGCAATTCATCCCACTTCAGTTTGATATTTATAAATACCTCAAGATATTTTACACAGTCATGAATCTTCAATTTGGTACCAATCAATGTAAAATTGTGACTTGTTGAAATCTTGTTTTTACTATCACTTGGATAAATAATTAACAGTTTTTTTTTCTGGATTCATGGTTGGTTTATTGCATGTCACCCAAAAATCGATAGTTTCAAGTTAGTCAAGTTTTTCTCAGCTTGGCTAGATAAGTCAATTATATTGGAAAATTGAGGTTTTGCTTGTATCGTCAGCGAAGAATTTTACAAATGCCGAGTTCTAATTTTCCACATCGTTGATATATACAATAAACAAGGTTGGGCCAAGCACCAAACCCTGGGGCACGCCGGGAGAAACAGGTATCTTCCTAATATCTTTTAAATATCTTCCTATTTCCCAGTCTTATACACAGGGATTTTTTTTAAAGTGGGGTTTATGCAACTTATCTATTACTTCAGTTGAGCGCAGAATGACAGAGGGAATCCAGGTCTCCTTTCAAGTTGGCGTTTCATGCGAGTTAATTTTCTGAGTGGTGCATGCTTTTGCATACACTCAAGATTTTGAGACAGAAACATCAAAATATAAATTTAAGTTTTTAGTGTGAAAAGTACTAGAAACCCATAAGAGTTAAAGAGTTGGGCATCCCTAACAAAGTTGTCCGATTCAAATTTGCTCATATCGCGTTCCAATTGTTGGTGGTTATGGGTGCAGTGCGCGCGATATCGACCGTCCCCCTAAACATCAGAAAAAATGTTGATGGCAGCATCGGTCAAAGGTTACCGGTATGAAAGTTGGTAATTAGCAAAAACATAAAAATCACTTATGAAAGCATATGCATAATGCATGCTAGACTACTTTACTACCCGGTTACCCGTGACAATGATATCCGGATATGAGATAGCGAAATACCACCTACCTAACCACCACAGAGATATCAGGAAGTAAGAAATATGGTACGCGAGACCGGCGAGAATTGTTATGTTTCATCCGTATGTCAGTAAGTAATGATTGCGCGCCTTAATTAGTTTTTTTACTTTTGGGTGAGCGAACACGTACTACTTCTTTTATCAATACCTTTCCATCTAAAATCTGTACGTTTCAAACCTTATTCGAGGTTTTGTTCGCTCTCCCGATTCTATAATCAGTTACTTTTATTTTTGTTTTTATCTATTATTTTATCGTCTATTGCTGATTATTGAGTCGAAATAAACTTATACTTTTTATTATACTTATTTATAATATTATTTTATTATCAAAAAAGAAATATTGAATAAATTACATAGTACAGTAGTAGGCTAAATTAATAAAAAAATAAATGAAAAAAAAAAATCGTTTCCCACACCATATTACAGTATTAATAGTTTTATAACAGTTGCCAAATTGAATGTAGATTTTGTAAACAAGAGTGAACAGTGAAATAAATTATTTAATTAACAAGATATCACCAAGCCGATTATAGTTGGAGTCGAATGCTAAATTGCCCAACCAAAATTCATTCAGTTACCTATTTTAGAATCACTGTAAAATCGTATTAGCATATTCAGATATTGGCATCCATAATGTTACAAAGTAACTCAAAAACAAATTAATGTGCAAATATTGTAAACAAAAGTGATGCCACAAAAAATCATAAGATAAATGATAAAACATAGTTACTGATCTTGGGATTTGACTATTTCATTTGTTTGTAGTTAATTGATATCTAGTATAACTGTATAAACTTGACCACACAGGTGATATATACCAGGGCTTCCGAACTTTTGAGATCGCGGCCCCTTTTTATAAATTAAAATTTTTCGTGGCCCCCATGCTAAAGAGTTCGAAATATGCATTTTAATATTTTATTGACACAGCTAATTAACTTTTAGTAGGCCTACTCAATAACAAAAACAAGCACATATTTGCTAAGGTTAATGGGTGCGAATGCTTTTTGCTTCATAACAAGTCCAGCCGTGGCTCAATGTTTGTTTATTCAGGCCTAAATGATGAATTACAATGTCTGGCCACCAACGGCATGGTTCTTATCCGAAGTTGTTACTCACTCTTATTGATCAAATTTAGCATAAGGCAGCGGTTTGTGCGACGCCAAATTATCAGGGAAACTCGCGGCGCACCTACACAAAAAATATGCTGCCTCAAAAAAAAACACAATTTTGTCATCGTTAATGTGTACTTTATGCCTTTTGAGTTTTATAAACATGTAGGCCTAATGAATAAAGGCAAAGGATAACTTTTATTTCTACTCCTTGCCTGTTTTTTTTTAAAATGCTAAAAAATCACCCATGTTCGATAATCTCGGTTCAGCAAATGAATAAACAAAATTGCAGCTCTTCTGTTACGCAACAATAGACCCCACGTACTGACATAACAGAAAGTGAACAACATAGAATGGTAAAATGAATTTGATTCATAAACACATCTTTTGCAATAATGAGAAAATAAAATACATTCAGAATAAATAATATATGTGAAATATACAATGAGAAAATGAATGCAAAATTTGAAAATGAGACTGAACCTGAATTTTAAAAGTACAACAGATAGAGTACTTTGTGTAAAATTGGTGTTCTCTTTGCGGCCCCTAAAATTCGTTTCGCGGCCCCTAGTTTGGGAAGCCCTGATATATACAATATAGGACAAACAGGTCTGGTATAGTTAAGTACCACATGCACTTCTAGTTGACCTGGCTCAACAAATTTTGCATATGTCAGTCCTAACCCCCATCTGACTTCGTCGCCCAAAAATTACATCATTTGGAAGTCACAGTGGCGTAATAAGGCCCACCAAAGTATGCGGATGGTCGTCCAAAACGCGCAGACGATCACCCGAAATCGAGCAAGCTATTTCTCTCGTTTTCTCATCACAACGATCGCCATAGGAGAGAGATCGCCCGCGTTAGCCAGTTTGTTATCGGCGGCCATTTCGGACAATCCCAATTATACTTCATGGCAAGCCCTATGACATGATGGTGACGTCGTAGTGACGTAATTTTTTGATGGCATAGTCAGGTGGGGGTTAGGAATAACATATGCAAAATTCATTGCGCTACGCCCACTGGAAGTACTTGTTTTACTAAACTATACTAGACCCAGACAAACTGGGTCACTGACAACCTTGTTTACAGGTTGTTCTAAAAATATACTTGCTAAAATGATTATGGGAAGCAGGTAGCTTGAGACTGTTGGACATGCGACTATGTTATTATGTCTTTGATGGCTGCTTGCACAATTTCAAAGTTTAATAAAAAGATGTTTGCCAAAATTGCGAGAACTGGTTTTTGTGTGAATTCACTCGCAACACGACATGGGAATAGCAACAAACATTGGCATTTTATGACTTCTGCAGCAATTCACAGCGAAGTAAACAGAGTTTTTGATCGCAAAGCAAAGCGTATTCACAAGAACTTTTGCAACCAATCTATCGACGATATTGAAACCTATGAATATGTAAAAAATGATATTGCATTTCAACTTGGTGACAGAATCGCTGATGTAAGTCGTGATTTTCCACTTGCACTCGATCTGGGATGTGGGCGAGGATTTCTATCAAGCCATCTTACTAAACAAGACACTGTTAGAATGATTATTCAAGGTGACACTAGTGAAAATTGTGTCAAACACGCAAAAGAATCTGATATTCCAATCTCAAATCTCGTTTTAGACGAGGAAAATTTGATGTTCAGAGAGTCCACATTTGATATTGTGATGAGTAATTTGAGTCTTCATTGGGTGAATGATTTACCTGGATGCTTCAAACAAGTTTTAAAGATACTCAAGCCTGATGGATGTTTTCTTGGTGCAGTGCTTGGTGGAGACACGTTATATGAACTTCGATGTTCATTACAACTTGCAGAAACTGAACGAGAAGGTGGCATGGCCGCACATGTTTCGCCATTCCTCCAAGGACCTGATTTGACAAATCTGCTTTCTAATGCTGGATTTAGTCTTGTTACTGTTGATATTGATGAAATGGTGATTGAATATCCTAGTATGTTTGAAGTTATGGATGATATTAAAGGCATGGGCGAAAATAATGCTTTAACTAAAATTAAACCCTTACATAGAGATACAATTACTGCAGCATCTTCAATTTACCAAGCAATGTATGGTGATGAGGATAATGTGCATGCCACATATCAAATATTATATTTTATTGGATGGAAACCACCCGGGCATAAAACTTCATGAAGGATTGTGAGATACACCTGGAGTTGTGTCGCATATAATCCAGATAGAGCACATTACTATTTTCATATGATTATGCAGCATAAAATTATTCTATATAAAATATGAGCAACTCGATGCTTTTTTCATTTCAATGTAGTTCTGTGATCATTTATTTGGAACATGTAAGGTTTTAGAGGCTGCGATATTATCATTGCTATTTGAACTTTGTTGTAAACCTTTTATTCAAAAGCTAGTGAAAATAATTTTAAAAACAGTTTCAACAACTATTTACTGTAAGTATACAGCCATACTGAACATACACCATGCATACAAAAAATGCACACTGCGTGAGATCTTAAGCCCTATTTTGTCTTTGTAGTTAAATTTAGTCAATTTATAGTCATATATCATGTCTGTTTTTGGGAACAGTGAGCTATTCGAAGAATTTGAAAATCCGGATATATCAGATGCGGTTTCAAATAGTGGATCTGATGACAGTGTGGAAGATGAATACAAGGAAAAATATAGAAATTTGAAAGTTGAGAATATCCTTTTACAAAACTTATTTTGTTATTTGCTTTTTTGTTGAAAATTTTGTTGCAAATGTCCTGTTGATATTTTTCATTATTATTCCTTAAAAGGTTCATTTGAATTTTACATGAGAAACTGAAAAAAAGTTTACGATTGTTTGAAAGACCTGCAAACATGAAGATCAAAGATTCTTCAAATGATGGACCTGTAGCTCATGTTATTTTATTTAATAATGTGATTGCAAGGTAAATATGAAGTACCGTATTTCCCGGCTATTAAGTCGTTTTCTGGACTCAAATTTTTGGCCTGATTTTGAAGGCTTCTTTTTGGGCAGGTGTGCTCTTTTAATTTTTTCTGGGATGGGCCTATTTTTCGCAAGTCTTCTCAAACATGATTTGCGTAATGTCCATATATGTGTTGATATATTTTATAATGTTATTTGTTTTATTTCTTTTAAAAACGTGGTCCATACCAGGAAGCACTCCCTGTTTATGCTCAAGCAAATGGACTATCACAAGATTAAATGATTGATTTATGACTCTATGACGTTTTGCGGAGTCAGGAAAAAACACACCAGATGGAAAACACAGCTGGGATTAACTCGTGCAGAACTTATCAAAGTTATCACACCATCAAATTTTGTATTGATATGTTTAAGTAATTTCTGCCATCTTGGGGTGTAGCCCAGCTGTAAAATTTTTCAGAATATTTTCATTTTTTTCTTGTTACCGTATCTCGTTTCAGGAAATTCAGAGAAGAAATAAAAGATTTTTTCCTTGATTTGTCAAATAGAAGATTAAATGGTGACTATTCAGTTTGCACTGAACCACAACCAGCGTTTATTCAATATTCTTCACCGAGCCATCACTCTCATAAACATAGAAAGTCATCCAGAAGATCAGAAGCCACTAAAAAAGCATTTCAAGCTTTCAGCAGTATTCAAATTTTTAAAAACTTTTATGTTGATCAATTGGGTGAACCATTGTCATTCGAGGTGGGTAAAGTATTTCATTAATGTCTCACTCAAAGAATTAAGTTTAAACGAAGTTAGAAGTATAGATGTACCGATACCACTTTTGTCGCCGATACCGATCCGATACCAACTAAAAACGCCGATACTGATACTATGTAATTATTACATTAATTAAGTGTGCTGTGTAGAGTAAATGGGTTAAAATAATGGTCTTTGAGCGTTATTCATAGTACACATTATTTCAGGTTGAAAAAGAGATATATCACATGTGAAATTGATGTTTGGTATCCAGATGCACTAATTGATTCGGATGCATTGTATGCTGAAGCTAGTAATCTTGGTGTCCAATTAGAAAACTCATACGCCGGGATGTCCAATTCCAATTTAATATTAATATCCAACCTTCGAAAATCGTTTTTCGTGTTTAAAAGAATATCGAATATATGCAAAAATATTTTAGTTCGTGTTTATTTGGTGATCGTTGCGGCAATAAATTACAGCCAAAATGAAAGGATATCAATCAGCGTCGACTAAAAGTACGTACGTATAATACGTATAATACTAGGTGGCCACATCAATAAATCTATAAAGAAATTGTGTATTTAAACAAAATTAAAATTATTATAATCAGAATATTTAATACCTGTGTAGAGAGATAATTGCGTCGGAATTTAGCTTAATGATTTCGACGGACTAAATGACACTCGCGCTTGACGATAACCAGTCAAAATTAATAACCGTGCCAAAAAGTGCATGTGCTGTAAAAAAGGACTCCCGATTCCTCTGTATGATTTAAATTTGGGCGCCTAGTTGCTCTCTTTTCTGTGCCGTGTTGATATATTTCTTCATAATTATTAATATGTAATATGTATTCAAAATGTCAATATGAAAATTTGGCAGCGAAAATAGCCTAATCAGATGAGCTAGTTTTGCTAGTAAATATTTAGAAACAAGTGAATCCTATTCCCGTTACCACTCATGAGGGTAGAGACATGCATGGCTCATAGTTCACAATCTCTCCAGGCAAAAAATAAATTGAAAAGTAATATTTTAATTTATCTTTTAAAACATTCTAGATCATATCAAAAAGGTAAATATATCGAAAATATCGATATTGATTCAGCCGATATCGATACATGACCGATACCCGATACCGATACATCGGTACATCTCTAGTTAGAAGTAATTGGTCGAAAACACTGCTTACATTTTGGATTTTATATTTTGCATTATTATGTCTTTATTCATTAATTTATTTCTGGAAAAAATATAGTCACACACAATGATACTGCCTCTAAAATTCTTATATATTTAGGACCCAAAATTCAGTGATTGGTTCTTCCCGGAATATGATAGACTCAGTTATGAACCAATGAATGGAGATCCTGATGATTATATGCAACAGACAAAGAAAAGAAAGTAAGAATATGTCTGATATATTTGTTTCAGTTTATATGTAGACTGACAAGAGTGCGACAAGAGTTGGCCAAAAATTATTGCATTAGCGGTCATGAGATCAAGTATTCCAAAACTTGGATAATTTTACGTTGTGACAACTTTTTTACATCTGTTTCGATGTGCTTTGCACGCTTTTCGTATACATATGTAATTTGAAGTTTTGGTAAATTTAATATCCGAATATACAGTACACTGATTGTAGATTTAATGCATTGGAAATATTTTTATTTAGGTTACATAGCATTTAGCATGTCTTTCAATAAATTTTGTATTTCTTGTTAACTTCCAGAAAATTACAGAGGATTTGTTTCAACTGTGGTGGGTCAGATCACCAAATGAAAGAATGTGAAAAACCTAGAGATCATCAAGCTATTTATGAGAGAAGACAGGTATATTAAACTATATGCCTGGCATACAAATTTGATTGAAATTTTTCGACAATGTCAAAAAATATTACCCCGGTACTTGAACTAATAATTCATACTACTTTCTGGTCTACATGTAATGTGGCAACCAATCAAATCTCAATTTCTTGTAGCCAGTTAGTTGGCATATCCGAACCTTAGTTCTGTAACAAAGGTATTGATTATCGAGCATGTGTGGCTCGAAATCTTCATGTCATCTAGCCCAGGGACTTCTCAAACTTTGGTGTTATAGAGCCTGTGAAGCGGTTGGCCATTATTTACAGAGCCACACAATAAATTTTTTGTATGTATAGAAGGAAAAAATTAAACATATATAAAATATTATAAACTTTTTTTAGCAGGGTTAATACAACCTAGAAAATAAATCTGATTTTCACAGATAAATTATAATAACGCTGTAAATTGACACTCGACAAACATTAATAGAGTAGTGTCAAAATGTGGCAACAAGGCGGTAATTGAAATTCATTGGAACTTATAGATATTGAATATACCGCCTTGTTGCCACATTTCTACGTTACTGTTGCCACATTTCTTTAATGCAGTTATTGCTTTTTTTGGACAATTGGAAAATTAGACAACTCAGTATTTTGATAATTTGAAGAATAGCTCACACTTCACAGTCACAGGGCCCTGGGGCTCCCTATGGAGCACTTTGGTAACCTATAATCTACCCCACAGTGAATTCCTGGCCTACAATCACTAGTTTTATTGAATTATTGGTTGCTATTTATAAGTGATCTGATTTGTCTGGGTTTATTAATATATGATATGATTTAGCACATTCAGCCCCTTTGGACTTACCTTCGTTACTCAACGCTTTTCATTAGTTTTTTATTACTTGTCTCTTGAATAGTAGGCAATGGTTGGGTAAATATTGGAATTCACCACAATCTCAAACTTTCCCTGATTAAAGCATCAGTATTCGTAGTCGAATATCAGCTCTTAATAATAATAGGGCCTTCATAAGGTTTTTCATCTGGGCTATTTTTTTTTGTCATGCTAGTGTGACGCACTAGGACATATGAGAAGGTCATTGTTATATGATTGCTTTTACATGTTGTTAGACTATACTACTTAGCCAACTCAACTTGATGGTAAGGCAACCAGTTGAGCACTTTAGTGCGTATGCGCAGTTGTATTCAGGAATCATTGCGCATAAACTAAATTCTGGGATAGTTATAGTCATTATTCATTCGTAAACACCAAGTTTATTTTTCAGAAATTCATGGATGAAGTGGCAAAGTATTCAGATGGATCGCCACAAATTCGAGTCGATGGTCCAAGATATCATGAAGAAGATGAAGATGAAGACAAAGCAGATAGATTTAAACATTTTAAACCTGGTGTTATCAGGTTCATTTTTTTTATTTTAAATAATGTGATGTAACACCAACCATTATCTTTGAATGTAGATTTTATTTTATATACGACATGGAAATCAACCTTGAAATTGCGAATATGACACATAATGTAGTCTACCCATTACAACAATGATGGGATCAATACAGGTTCTTTGTTTCAAACTTGCTATCAAAAGGTTTCTTCATGCCAAAAAAAACGCTGAACTCATAGCTCTATCACAAAACTCGAACTTGATAACAAAAACAAACACAAGCTTACATGATAAGACCAACTTAAACATCGTACTCACTAATGAATGTCACTGTGTAATCTACATTAACATTACACGCTTTACATAAATCTAATACATAACTTTCAAACCACCAAATATAGTGCTTCTCGTCAGCTACGGTGCATTTTACCTATTTGCTGGGATCCTCTGATGTCTTGAACAAAACACAATTATATTCTACAATAAGTGAGAATTTTTTTTTTATTTCTCAGTGCTGAATTGCAAGAAGCACTTGGGATTACAGAAGTTGACATTCCTCCTTATATTTATCAAATGAGAAGACTAGGTTATCCACCTGGTCATTTGCAATATGCAAGAACAAAGAAGTCTGAATTAACATTATATGACAATAATAGTTCCAACGGTGAAAACAAGGAGAATCAATACAGTGAGTAGTTGTTGGCTGTCCTCAGATTTTGAGGATTTAAGGGATCCAAAAGATCAATCGTAGCTGGTACCACAGAAGATTTATGGTTTCTTGTCTGTATAAATTTAGAAGTAAATTTTGTATTTGTTAATGTAGAATGAAAAAGACGTTTGAATCAATTTCGAACAGTGTTCCAAATTTTTAGTATAGTTTATCATATCTATGCTTCATATTTCAACCAACTCGTTGAAACTTATTGGTAGGACTAATGTCATAATGGAATCAAATTTAGGATAAAATTGGGATTTCATTTTCGTCTGGTTTTTGCAAAAGTTTTGGTTTAAAAATCTGGTAAAACAGAGATATCCATGTCAACATTTATATTTAAGATATATTTGTTCAAGGGAGAAGCTAATATTGGTCAGCAGTTATGTGGGGCACCTTGACTACCATAACAGCAATCCTCTCCACTATATGGTCGTCTCAACATTATTAGTAGGCATATATGTTTTTATATAAAGTATCAGTATGTATCATTTTTCAGTTCCTGTTGAGGTCGGCAAAATAGTTGGATATCCTGGATTCAACATTCCACCTCTTCCTGGTCAAGAAGATGTGAGTGTATCATTATTACTTCTTTGGTCATTATAAAGTGAAACTATTGAGGAGTTATTTATTTTAATGTTTCTCTAACCTTTGACCCTACATTGGAAATTTGTAATACGAGAAATTATTGACAACTAATTTTAACCTCCATGTAGTCGAATATTGCAAATATTGTTGTGAAATTCCAGTGTTATTATAGTCCTTGACATGTTTAATTCTGCAATTGTTAACCAAATGGAACAATTATTAACATAATGTATATTTCTTAGATTCTGGAATAGTTTGCACGTATAAGCTCATGGTTTGTGATAGAGGATATATCTCCCTGGTGCAAAATAGCATTGTAATATTTTATGGTCACGCGTTCATCATTATATTTTAAATAACAGAAGTTCAAAGAACATTGTGTTGGACCAATGAATGATGCGCAGAGTAAAGAAGTGATGGTATCTTATTTTGAGCACCGCAATAATTTATTCAAGTAAGATTTGTGATTTGGTGTTTTGTTTTTAACTTGATTTGTCAATAGTATCGTTTCAACAAATTAGTTTAGAATTGAATATCAGCCCTTGAAGAAAAAAGTAAGATGTAAAAACTAATTTTTGTTTTTGCATGTTTACACTCGAAAGAGAAGTTTAAAATGTAGAAAATGTACATATATTCTGCTTTGCTCAAAACCAGTGAATTAGAATTGTTCAAATTTTCCAGTCAACGAAAACAAGCAGAGCAACAAGCTAAAGAGAGAGATGAAAAAGAGAAAATTCAAAACCGAGATGATGCAGATGTAGAAGAAGTTGATATGGACATAGGTGGAGATGAGGGTAATTTTGTTGACTGGTCGACCTCCTTTCGCTTAATTTTAGTAACTAAGAGTCCTTTTCGAAAAGCTTTTACATGGTACTTGCAGGATTCCTCGCTGTTGTGGGTTCATGTAGGTGCAGGTTGCTTATGGTTTTCTCCACCATCAATTCCATGCATCCAAAATACCAGGTTAACTACTCCTAGACTGGTCACCAGACGAAAGGTCGTGGTTTGCCATAAAATTGAGTTTTATTATCGGCTTCCCTCTACCGCAGGATTAATATGGTAATCCAATGGTTGTATCGGTTGAAAATTTCTAGCTTTGGCGCCACAAGAGGTTAATAGTAACATGTCTATTGACAACACTCTTGTTCATAATTAGGGCCGGGCACTTCGAATCGAATATTCGAATTGATTTGAATAGTGAATTATTCGAATCGCTTCAGAGCAAAATTCGGAATCGCCGCCATATTGTATTTTTCTTACCGCCAATTGTCGAGGTGTATTACCAAATCTTTTTTTATTGAAGCCATATTTTTTCAAAGTAATTCTGACATATGACCATTTCTGTAGTGAGGTATTGATAAATAAGTGTTTTCCATTAGGTGTGAACGCTTCGCAGTCTGTCTTAGTGGCGTATTCAGTAATTCATTTGTTTACAGGACCAAATACAATTCAAAAGTCGCATACAATTACATATCTCTCATTGACTCCCAAGTATTCGAGATTCGATTTGAAAAAAATATTCGATTCGATTCTGAAATCATCAGATATTCGGAAATGCCCAGCCCTATTCATAATTACTTTGTATAATATTTTTTAACTAATTGTCAACAAAAGATGATTCTACAAGAGCTTGAACCATTGACTAATATTTTAGAAATTTCTGTGATAGGTGAACAAGAATATATTGAATTTCAACCCCATGCCCCACCAAGTCCCGTCGTAAGAACAAAAAGAGAAGACTCTGATTTAGAAGAGGGTGAAGTCGAGGATGACATCGAAGCTGACGTTGGCAGTTTAACGGAAGATGAACTTGAAATTAAGAGAGAAATGCTTCTTAAAGAACTCAAAAAAGCAGCAAGTGATAGTAACAATGATTCAGACTACAGAAATATTAAAACTAACGATCATGATTACAGACTTCCTCCCTCTGTTACTATTGATCTTACTGGTAGTACATCAGAGTCTGATGTCAACCTAACTATTCCTGTTGTTCAAGAGGAAAAAGAAGACTTGCAACCTGATGTGATGATAGTGGAGTCATCTTCAGATGATAAAGATGAAAGAGATGAACAAGCAATTGCTATAAAAGAACGAAATACATCAAGCGATACTGATTACAGAATGAATCCAGCTTTTATTTCTATCCGATCAAACGAAAATTCTCCAATCACATTTAATACTGATGCTGTGGAAGAGAAAAGTGAATTAGATACCCCACAAAGTCCCGACTTTCAAGAAAAACAAACTGTTTCCACAGAAATGACTGGCGATAATATTGACTCAAATTCCCAGCCAGCCCTTCCAGGTAGAAATAAATTTGCGAAAGGAATTACTCAATTTGACGCATACTATTCAGAAAGTAAGTCTCAAGGAGTTTACAAAAAATTACGAACACTTTTAAAAGATTCACCAAGGAGGCAACAGGAATGGAAGAAAGATGTATTTTCTTGAATGCAGTTATAGTTCGTTAGGTCAATGGGAACATTTAATTTTTTAGCTATGAAGCTATTGCTCAAATTTATTTCGATATCATCAAGGCATACAATGTGGAGGGTACATCCATAATTTTCCTGTGAAGTATACAATATTTCATATAAGTATGCTCAAAGCACGAAGAAATGTTTTTTTAATGTAATTTAATAAAGTTTGCCAGAAATACCATTATACATTATCCAATTATAGTAAACAATGAAAATTTAAGATTTTCAGCAGTTCGGTTTTATCGTTTGAAGATTAAATAAATTTACTCATTCACAGATTAATATTATTATGTCAATTATTCTCTCAATGCGACTTTTATTTATATGACATTGGATTGTAAACAGTTACGTGCTGTGGTAAGAAAACATTTTCAATCTCTTATTATTAAGAATTCATATGAATTTCCAGAATACTATATCATTTCATTCTTATATCGATGAAACAACTTGTTACTTCTATTCTTATGAAACGGTTTTCATTTTTGAATTATTTCGAACAGTAGGCTTAGGTGAGGTATCTGAATTATATTGTGAAATGCCTCTTTATTTTTTGATGTCTGGAAAATGTAGACATGTAGCATGGCTCAGCTAAGCACATAGTCTGATGTAGATGGCCCGAGTGAGAAAGGTTTGGAAATCCTTGTTGTCCCAGGTCTAATTCTTATTCTGAATGTCCACCATGAAAACAATTTCATATTTTGGTAAACTTACAGTGTTTATGTCATTTATATTGAAACTGAGCAGATTCATAAATCATTATAACGAGGCAGGTTATTTATATTTAAATTATTCCCAATGTAACAACTAAGGTCAACTAGTACTTATGGGAATGTCAAGTACTCAGTGTTACCATTGCACTCCTTAAAATAACACAATGACTTGAGAAAAACAATTTCGTATTCCTATGGGAGCTTTCCTAATGTATTTGAAGAATTTTGTTGAAATGTGGTGATTCCAAAATAAAAATTCAGACACCTTTTTGATTTGTTTTTTTTTCTGCGCAATGTATTTGTGTAGAGTGTCATATCATGTTTGTTTTGTCTGTTTCTTGAAGTAATATTATAAAATATGACTTAACAACAATGCTGTTTGGCTGGTAGAGATAATCTGATTCACACAAGTTATGTATATAATTTGGCATAATTCAAATACTTCTGAAATTTTATTTGAGTCTCCAAGTGGATGTCACCCACCTTACATCCAATAACTGGTATGTTATGCATCATTATACAAAAGGTATCTGTATCATTATACTTGTAAGTTATAACAAAATAGTAAAATCTCCTCTCTTTTTACAGTGTAGTTAACTGCAGTTATGTCTTAGTTGTCTCATGAAATGAATTTTTATTAATCAGTATAGAAATCGAATTATGCTATATACATAGCCCAAAGATTCTTATGCCTTGACATGTTGAAAATATGTCCTAACACATAGTCGACATGTCAGATGATATTGAATGAAGTGGAATCTTCTTGCAAAACTTGATGAAAAGTTGAAGGATTCACAGCCGAAGATCACAGCAATTTTGTGAAAAGACTAACAAAATTTGAAATTTCGTGTTACATGTTTACCCATGCAATGACAATCCTTGATTTGAATATTGAAGATTTGTCGTTCCAGACTAGCCTATATAATAGCATGTAAATGCTAGCGAATTTCTTAATCAACAGTCATTGTACCAATTTTAGTCAGAATATTGTTCTGGTCTAGTGCATATTTATATTGTACAATTCTGGCTGTTAGTCACCCATTCAGTATTTATGTTCTGTTTCACCAAAAATGGAATTTTTCTATGCAATGTTTTGAACTATTGTCAGTTGTATTCAATTTGAAATTGGAGCAATAAACTCCTGTTTGAGCCTAGAAGGACTTCTTTTATCTTATATTAATGTTTCTTGCTGTTTTTGGCTCGTTTATAAGTTTCAGCTATGTTTGATGAATATTAGTGACTGATAACTTTTTGTGGTTCTTTTATTTATTCAATTACTGATTTAAATGTTTTCATTGAGACTAAATAGTCCATCTTTGTTCTTCTTATCAAAACAGAATGTGTGACCACTGTTTGCCTGCGCTTTCAAAATTCCCTCTGATTTTGAAAGGTTGTGTTTTCAGCATACCAGTACCATTGAAATTTCCAGTACCAGGGTAAATTTCCTATTATTTTCTACATTCAGATGTTATTAATGTGCATAGGCTTATGTTTTTTTCATGATGTGATACCTGATTGATCATTTGGAGTAATAAATTGAGTAAAGTGGAATCTACTGTATGGTAAGTACAATACAACTTGGCTGCTGTAATAAGACTATTCATTTTTATTGCTGACAAGGTTTATATTCATTGTTACACATTGTTTTCTTCAATAAAATATACTGAATTCAGGAATTCTCAAATTTATATTCAACTTTTTATATCTGATTGAAGGTTTTTGATATTTTGTTAGTGGGACAGTTATGCAGCATGCTCTTCTTGTATTTCCTGATTGGTGTGTGCTGTCCAAGCACATGCGCAACAAATGGCTTGGTATATGATGACTAGTGAATAAGTGATGCATACTTCCTCTCATTGTCATTCTAATGAATGAATATAGATTTAGGTTATTTTTCAGAAGTTATTAAAATAGAAATTTCAGCGCTCCTGTGTACCAATATGGAGGTAACTAATTTTGTTTCCCTACTTTACATCAAGTTGTCTAAAGCGACAGAAGCCTATGGGTAGAGGATATATTCACTTGGCTAACATAAACAGTCCCCGAACTTGTGATAGAACTAAAATAAAGAAAATCGGAATGAAATTATGGCCTAATCCTAACCTGGTACAATACTATGGGAGTACCAAAATTTCGTTGGCAAACCACAAACTGCCTAAAACAAAAATGGTTATCCAAAATTAGTGTAATCACTGATAGAAGAGGCCACTGATATATGCTAAGGGCTACATATTGATCCATTGAGAAGCTACTGCTACTTAACCTATTTCTTCTGGGCAAACGGCGGCCATTCACTTGTAAAATCTAGTAACTAAGCAAATACGTGAGCAAAGTTATACATCAGTAATGAGTATGATTTTCTAATTTAGAAGCTAGTTTTGTAGCAGTAATATATATAAGCAGAGACAGAGTTACAAGCCTGCGACTATCTTACTTTCTGCATCTTTATCTAGTTGGCCACTATAATATAGAAGTCTATGCTGGATTGATTTTAATGGCAAGCACCGCGCGGATGTATCAAGATTTTTGGATAAATGATGACATTATTTATTATTCTAATTCGTGGTACATGCACTTTCTCACAATAATCTAACGATCTTCAAAATTGACATCTTGTAAATGTAAACGCTTCAAAATAGAATATATTTCAGTTTTTAATATCCTTTTTTTCGAAAAATTTTCCAACACATATTTAATTAGGTGTTCAATATGATCTTCAACTTCAGTGGCCTTCCAGACTTTAGAATTCTACAATTGATATGATACCACCTCATAATATAATTGTGATAATCTCAGTTCAGCAGCTGCCACTGTCAGCCATTCGAAACAGTTCCATTTCTATCATCTATGTTTTATTGCAAGAAGTGTGCGCACACACACAACTTGTTCGCACCATATAAATTCACTACTTAGCACCTTTCTTACATGAAGAGGGACCTATAAAATTTCAACTTCAAAGCAATTAGAAGTCATAAATGTTATTGTTTAATTTGGTAGATTTGAGTTTGATATAGTTCTGGAAAACATGTCCATTATAGTTTTAACATATTCTATTCAAATAGTACTTGTGTTCGAAATTTATATTACTATTATACAGCCTATTTTCCTATGTTTTGAAACAGTTTGATTGCAGTCCATAGTATTGAGTTACATTTACAAGCACCAGTATCTGGAAAAGTTTAACGGAAAAACAGCATCGAATGTTAGATATGATAGTTCAGGGTGGTCCAAACCCAGGCCAGGCTTTATTATCTGTGGCATACATCATATTTGCTGGTATATGTAACAATTAGTGGTCCAATTTGCATGTTGACTTATATGTTATTTTGTCATAAAATAACCGAAAAAATCTGTTATATCACTAACGTCTCATTGAATTGACTAGCGGTATGGCTAACTTAGACAGTCAATAGGCAGGAGTGGTGTTGATATGGTACTGGAATATTGTGCTTAACTCGCTAATTAAGTTAGTGTTAGATTTCGACAGCCTCAAATGATTTTGAACTTCCACAATTTGATTCTATCTTTTTCTTTGGAAATATTTGTTAATTGGGTTTATAGACAACTAAAAATCGAATGGGCAAACTATTAGCTTGGGTTGGCTATGCTTACTAACACCTGTTATGACCTAACCATTATTATACTCCTGCCGCATTGCCTTTTTGTAACAAGCTTTAAACAGTGACACAAAAACTGTTGCCTATATATATCAGAAAATATCAATCAGTACATCACATTTGGATAGAATTTAATCTAAAGCTTTCCCATGATTTCTTTCAAATTAGAACTGCATGATGATAAATGATCTGGGAAATCAAAATACTGTGGATGTTACAACTGGTTCAGGCAGTCCTTTTGTGATCAAAGTGAAGAAAAATGCCAATGAATGGCGTATTGAATCTGATGTAGAAGATTCTCAGCCACACAAAACAGGTAACGATATAGAATGCAATACACCTCACAATTTATTCTTGGCATGTACGATATTTGGCTGAATTCAAAACACAAATAAGTCTCAATTGAATTGCAGTCACAATTACTTTCAATTTGAGAAGCAGACAAGGAGCAATTTAAAATCAGCATTATTCTAGATCTAAAATAACGCTTAGATATTCTTTGTGAACTTTCCTTTTGTGTCCAACTGGTTCTGTAAAATACCATTTGCGTTTTTTTTAGTTAATATGTAAAGTGCATATTCATGATTTACCTAATTTAATTATCATTGTTATTTTAGAACAACAGGGTGATCCTAAAACAAAACAACCCAAGTTCGTTTGGAATATATTCTAGAGCAGTGGTTCTCAAACTTTTCGAGCTGCGCCTCCTTTTTAGAATTTGTCAAGTCTCGCTCCCCACCTCAAAAATAACTAGCTAACAATAAACTACAAATAACCGAAAATAAGGCAAAAATATGTTTTATTCAAAAAGCATGTTGAAAAAACTTGGATTGAACGTAAACATCTAAAATAAGGCAGGCAAGATAAAATCTAACAAATATTATTATTTTTTATTGGCTTCACGCCCCTCAAAAAAATGTCTACGCCCCTCTTATGGAGCGCACCCCACCATTTGAGAACCACTGTTCATTGCTTTTGTTCAAAACATCCTACTCCTAGATTACTGATACTTTTGATTACAATCATAAACAAACAAACAGAGGTTCAAGTGTTAAATGAATTTTCTTCATTTTCAAAGAAGTAATTATGGGTCTGTTTTTTAGTCATCCTGTATTTTGTTATTTTAACTTTATCTGAATTATTGCAGATGGTGCTGCTGCTGTCATAAAGCAGGAAGTTGAAGATATTGATTTTACCTTACTGCCACCTACGAAAGTGGAATGTACAGCTGAGACACCTACTGCAGATGCAATTTATCCTAAAATATCACAGAAAAGTCAAATTGGTGAGGGAATAAATGATACAGAGGATGCTAAAACAGGCACAGATACCGGGCAAAGTATATCAAAACAAGCACACCAAAATAGGCCTACAACAATTTCTAGACGATACGACTGTAACTTATGTCGTTACAATACAACACATTTGCTGGGATTTTTGAACCATGTTATGAAATATCACTACGCTTCAAAAACTACCAAAACTGGTGCGAAGAGATGCCATTCTTCAGAGACAGAACAACCTGATAATTCCTTCCTTAAAGCTGAGCAAAATGATCTATCCGCAGATCTTTTCAATCCACCCAGCCAGAAGCTGAGAAAAAATGTTTTGCTGCCATCAGCATTCGATGCCCCAGAAAATACCACTGCAATAAATAACATGGATTTATCAGTAGGTGTTCAAACATCTTCTGATCAAACTGAAAACAATTATGCTGAAATGCCTGTTATGCTGGAATATCATTCAAAACATGTACCTGCCACCAACAATTCTGCACAAGAACTAGTTGCACCTATATCCCAAATTACTGCAGCAACAAATAACATTGATTCCCAAAATCCTGCAAGTGGAAATACTGAGGAAGAACAGGATTCACAAATCTCTAACGTTGATCCATTTGCACCGCTACCTGCTTCTCCAAAACTGAACACTGTTGTCAATCAAACATTTGATGATTCCGTACTCAATGAAAGTAATTCTAATAATAAGACTTCAAGTTTGAGTATCTGTAGCAGCGCCAGTGCTAGTTCCAAAATGAACAAAGATTCTCGTGGTGCTAAACTCAACAGTATTGTGAACAATTTGAAGGAATTTGTTTCAAACACTTTTCCACCATTTATTGGCCAGCCTCATGAAAGTGTGTCTGATAAGGCTGTTCCTGTATGTTCCAACTGCGGTATCCAGACCAATGCAAGATTAGGCCTCAATCGGTGCCATTTTTGTGTGCAAAAGTATCCACAAATTGGTGCGAAAAGAAGTAATATGGCCGCTGGTCAAATATTTCAACATCCGAACAATGGCAAAGATAGCATGAGTAATGGTGAACATGCTGCTTTCAACCATTCTGTCCCACTGACGTACACAAGGGATAAAGCCATATTTCCTCCCAATAATCAAACTATGACGAATACCATACCATCAAATCTAGGCCAGGGCATTGGTTTTTCTCAAAATAACCATTTTGAAGACTTACAAAGTCTGATGCAATCTGGTCGAGTCACCATGCCAGACCCAGTAGTTCTGCAATCAATAAACTGCTCACAAGGTAGGTGGAATTATATTCAGGAAATTTTACATGAAGCTTTCAGCGTATTTCCATACCTCACACACCAAGAAACCCAGACACTTACCAGGTTAACTGGTTTGCTTCCAAAACAGATCAAGACATTGTTTGCTGTGGCTAGATTGCAACACGGTATAAGTTGGGAACAACATGAAATAGAAAGTGCTAGAAGATCGCTTTCGAACATAAGTCGAGATCGTTTCCAAACATCATCACGTGTACAGTCCAATATGCAATCCCCACCTCCTGCGCTGAAGCAAGCTTTTCAACATTTCACAAAAGAGCAACATGATATTTTAAGATGGTCTTTCACAAGCATTCCATTAAATGTGAACGAATTAAATCGTTTACATGAAGTCACTACGTTAGACAAAGCTACCATACTCCATTATTTCAAACAATTGAATTCTCACATGTCACCAACAGAATCTGAAGTACAGCCCATTAATAATAAACAAGATGCATCATTCTCATGATGCATTGATTTCAATATTTGTTGAGAAAGAAAAAGCAACAAATAGGCTATTTCACTTTGATCGGCTCCACCATGTGTTTAATAGTGGTACTGGTTAAGTCCGTGGTTCTCAAACTTTTTTAACTGCATCCCCTTTTTAGATATTGCCAAGTCTCGTGCCCCACCTCAAAACTAACTAGCTAACAATAATGTACAAATAACAGATAGTAAGGCAAGGCGAAAGTATGTTTTATTGAAAATACGTGGACTGAACATAAATATACAAATAAAAGATATATATATATATCATAAATAAGGTGGGCAAGATCATTCTAACAAATATTTCTATTTTAAATAGCTTCACACTGCCGCAAAAAATTGTCCATGTTCCCCTTGTGTTGGGCACGCCCCACCGTTTGAGAACCACTGGGTTAAGTGGTAACATATGATGTTCGATAGTTTATATTCTAATGTTTGCCCAAATTCTCTTTCTGCTATGGTTTAACATAACGGTAAGAACATATTATTAATGTTATACTCATCAACAGTGGGAAAATGCTGGTCTATTTTTTGAACATAAATTTTGCAATATTTTGTGTACAAATTAAGAATTTCAATCATTTGTTGGAAGATGACACCCATTTCATGATGAGATCATGTTTTTTATATTTCTAATATACTTTTTATTAAAAGATTTAAGATTGTGCTTAATCATCCAGGATTTTCATCCTGGGGGACAGGAAAGCCTATAATATGGCCTATCATTACCAGTCTGGTATGGTCATAGTTACTTGGTTGTGAGTTTCATATAAATGCATTGATGGTGCAGAAAGCCCTCAGCGACCAGAAGCAGCGACATAAACCATCCATCCTACTGTGGTTCGAACCAGAGGTGCTTGTATTCTTCCTTGTGTGTTGCTGGGACAAGTGACAAAATGATAACCATTCATGTTTTAATGGCTATGGAAAATGTTATGTTTGGAGTTATAGGCCAAAAGATGTATTAGACTAGTTCTTAATATCAGTGACTTAGTTATGTGTGTTTGTAATATTTCACAGAACACTAACAACCACATACAAATTTTTTCTTTCTTTCGAAATCAATGATGTTCAAGCTTGACACATCTTTTTTCTATTTCTTCTTGCTGAAAAAATTTCATACCGATATTGTATTTAACTGTCATCATGTCGGGAATAGCTAGTTATTGTGCTGTTGTTAAAGGATGTGTAGGAACATCCACCAATACACCGAAATACATCGACATTTACAATATAGATGGCTACATATTACATGGGATGAACGGTATACGTCGTTCAATGTGGAAACGTTCTTTACATCAACAAAACTTGCATTTCCTTGACTATGTACCTTGATTTCCCCGACCTTTGACCCCCGAAAAATTCCTTTTATACTTTACCATTGCAAAATTTTCGGGGCTATTTTAATAGTGCTTTTGCGAGTTGGCGCCTGTAAAATGAGGTATGTGTTTCAAACCATCATTATGATTCATCGCATAAAACAATCTGTTTTTTGAAAGTACCGGTTAATAATTTTAGACTAGTCTATCATAGAGATGTACCGATACCACTTTTGTCGCCGATACCAGCTAAAAACATCGATACTACAAAAATGCCGATATTCCGATACCGATACTATGTAATTATTACCTAATTAGGTGTGCTGTGTAGGGCGGACGGGCTAAAACAATGGTCTTTGAGCGTTGTTCATAGTAGAAAGTACACACTATATTTCGGATCGAAAAAAAGAGATGTATCACATAATATGAAATTAATGTTTGGTATCCAGATGATTAAGATGCATTGTACAGTGACGCAAGTAAAATCGATGTTCCATTGGAAGACTCGTAAGCCGGGATGTACAATTCGAATTTAATGTCAATATCGCGACTTTCGAATATCGTTACTCGTGTTTAAAAGAATATCGCCCACACATTCTAGCGCCGCCGTCCTACGTTCAAATTAAAAGCATTTTACAAATATTCTATTTTGTGGTTCGTAATCGTCGCCGCAATAAATCAAAGCCAACATGAAAGAATATCAATGAGCACCGACAAGTAGGCCTACCTATAACCGTCGAGGATGTTTTTTTACTTCACTATTTCATAATATCTTACAATTGCTATCATATCTTTTGAAACAGTCTAGGGGCTCTAGGCGGTCATGTCATTATATCTATAAAGAAATTGTGTAGTTAAATAAAATTAAAACCTGCGTAGAGGAATAATTGTGTCGGAATTTAGTTTATTGATGTCGACGGACTAAATGACACTTGTACTTGACGACAAACAGTCAGAATTTATAGCCGTGCCCAAAGTGCATGCCTGACTTGGATGACCATGCTTCCGGAAACAAATAACAAACTAATCCCATACCCGACATGGAATGGTAACCGGGCGAGAGGCCGTGGTTCGCCATATGGTTAAACCGCCATATCGGCCCTCCTCTCCCCCAGCATAAATATGTAAATCCTATCAAGATGAGATGTTTGTTAATAAATAATCTCTCAATGCCAACAACAAATCTGCATTAATTTATCCGAGCAAACATAAAAATGCTGCTCAAAACTTTTTTGCTCAACGGCCGCCTAATGGTGCACAAATTTGATGACGTCTTAGCACACGAAAACGAATTCTATATAGCTCACAGAAATATTCCAAAAAAATAAAAGTAATTTCATTCCGATCGTCGTTGGGTGCGGCGGACGTGTGTGCTTGAGAAGACTAGAAAATGCTACGCGCTGTATGTTTCGGTATCCGTATCGCATAATATCAACATGAGCAAAGCTCATCCACCGGAATTAAAGAAGTTTATGGATAAAAATTTGGATTTAAAGACAATCAAATACTTTATCCTTAATTTCCCAAAAATCATATACGAATCTTGAGGAAAGTACAATATTTAACCACTGAAAATTTTTTAAGCAATGGGTCCAGTAATCCAATGACATTTAACAACATGATGGGCAACTCTGACGTCACTCCATAAGACTACACGCGAAAGATTGTATTTCATGATACGCTTCAATGCACATAGTTATCGTCGCCTTTCGAGACCGTTTCCCATTCGCTTTTGCTACTCGGCGACTTCTTTACGTGTAGTATCTGCCTTTTTGCGCCTGTCACGAAAGAAAATACTCATTAAATCTAAGAAGTTTTGCTCACTTGGAAAGCTGGAATGGCAGACAAGCTAAGCAGAGTAATTCTGGACATCATAGACGTTTTTATATTATCAGAGAAGATTACAAACGCGATAGTGTAAAGATTTGTGTGGAACATTTTGCAGATAATGACAAAGTTCAAGGTTACTAGTTTTAATGTTTGTACTTAAACATTGAAATTTTATTTAAAGAGGGTTTCTTACAAAACAGCAAGACTGTTTATACTTCTCTTAACGGTGCTGTGATACAATTCCATAACACAAAGTTTGCACCCATCGAATTTGCTTTAGTAGGTGAGTTTATTAGACATATTACATATTCTTTTTATCGTAGTTAACATTGATGGTAGATAATGCCTCGTAGATATGTTTGTGTCTAAATTTAGGAATTTAGCTCATAGCCCACTAATTAATATTATCGTCTATGCAGGAGGTTGCAGGGCTGAATTCAACTTGCAGCCTTACCGATCACCTGATGATGCTCATTTAGTTTGGCTCGAGCAAGTCTTCTTGAAAGACTTGTATGAATGGAAACTACCTATATCTTTTGCCTTCCTCCGATTTTAGAAGACAAATTTAATCTGAGGAATTTTGCATATAGTTCTCATTGATTGTTGGCTGTTTATATTTCCCATTAATTGTGAATTCAGATTATAACAAAGAGTTAAAAAAATTTTTACGTAATTTACTAGCACCTTTTTCTTGTCAATACTCCAAGCTGAGGTAATAAACAAGACAATACGTTCATGTCACCTGGAAGCAAAATATGCACACTAATTAAAAGTTTGACACATTGAGATAATACATCGCGACAGCAAATACAAGTCATACCATATGCCGCATCGCATTTCGGAAATTGCAAACAGTTTTTGATAATGTATACTTAAAAGATATTTTCAAGATAGTTTTAGTTTGTGACATATATTGTGATGCAATTAAACAGTTGGATTAAGTCCTATTATTTTCTCTAATTTCAAATGCAATTAAATATTAATATTTGCATTCCACTATTATTGCAAGTTACTGTATTTATTACAAAAAAATCATAAAATTCTATGAACAACCATCAAAATCATTTTTGAACAAGCTTTGGATAAGAAAAGAATGATACATACACTAAGAATGACTTAATCTAAATATATGGACCTAAAATTAACAAAAATACTGTAGTATAAACTCAATGTTTACTCAATTACATTTGTCCTGACGTTTGACAACTTTTTTGTGTCACAAGCATACTAAGGCCAGGCTGAAATGATTTTATAGTACCGACTCTTATAGTAACTAACGAGGTCACATGATCATGAGTTAATATGGATCTGCGAGAATGTTTAATTAATTCCAGTAATGCAAGAAAGCGTATAGATCAGTAAACAAACAAATGACAGAATTTTTTGACAAGAAATTTTGCGCCACATTGCGTGGCATTGAATTATTGGTGATATTGATTTTTAGTAAACTAAGTCGTTGTATAATTATATTAATATACAAACGCATGGAAATTTTCTGTTCGAAGTTGGTCTTTGAATTTGTCATATTGACTGCTGAGTTTATTGTGTTATTTCATTGTACTGATGGAAATATGACAAAACAAAAACAATGTGCTTCAGAATTTTGAGAAATGCAGAAATATTGTAACTCCCATTTTTCTTCGAAAATGCCACCTTCTTTATGTACTTTGCGTTTAATTTATCCACTCAAATGTTTTATTCAAGTATTCTTTTGCTAGCTTAATATGTAAGTTCTTAATTGGGTCAAAATGTGAACAAAAAAATAATAATTTTCCAAAACTACTTTCAGTAAATTGTTTTTTGCGTGAATAATCAATTTCACTTCAAAAAATTGGAAAAATCTTTTACATTTAGAAAAAAAAAACACTTTCAAAAATCTATTACAATTATTGTTTAGCGTTTGAGGGCCGCACTGGAAGTTCTCTGGGGCCGCGAGTTTGACATCCCTGGTCTATATTGAAGTTGTCCAAATTATTGAACAGTATTTTATCATGAATCATGATTATACCCTTCCCTGAATTTCTTCTATAGTACTACCAAAATTTTATGGAACCAATTCTAACATGGTGTAGTGAGTGACCCATAATCTACATTTCCAAAGCTGTTTTCAGTATGTTCGGCGTGTTTTGTGCCTTTTTACAAATAAGACCCATACACAACTCTACCGGAGGTTCAAATGTCTTTGCATGCCTCCATAGGTTGTTCTTCTATTGCAAACACTCATGGAGTACTCTAATTGTATTTCTTGCAATCGCACTGTCACTTATATTTTGCCAGACTTCTGATATCTCCCCGTCTGCTACAGTTGTCCTGTGAATAAATAATGGGAAATTGAAGTTAGACGAATAGTTGAAAGTTTTGCTCTATGTCGACTTAATTTCTTGATTGATATTCTTACTATTTTTGCTATTGCCTCTTGTGCTACAGGAATCTCACAATGCTTATACAGATTTGTCCACAACATTCACATCTGAAGAAAGAGAGGAGATTTATTAATTTTCGTCAAGAATATTTAAAGCAGTCTATATGATTTAAAATGGAAAAGTTAATAAATCCAATATCTCATGTTAAGTGTAAAAAATGTTTTACTGAATTTGGTATATAAACCAACTAATGAAGGGGTTTAGTCCAAAAATTACAGGCATTCGTGGCTTCATATACTTGAGAGATCATACTATACAATATAGACCGGAATGGGTGAAATGTTAGGTGAACTTGTTAACCCTTTGAATCAATACGCAAATAAAAGTGATTGAGCAATAGTATGTTACAGCAATACGTAAATATCCCCATTGGTTAGAAAAATCTAAATGGAGGTACATGAACTATTTGAAACCATAAGGGGTAAGTAAATATGCAATTTCGGCAAATGGGCAACTACGTACCGTACTGAATTAATAACTTTGTAGTATTTGAAAAAGCTGGCTTTCCCACATGCACCTAACAGTGCGATGCCCGGGTGTGATATACAACAATAGTATTTACCTTACCTTTTTCCGATTTTTTTTTAACTCAACTTTCCAAAATATCATTAAAATCGACAACAACTGTCAAAGCAGGCACGAACACCATTCGTGCTATGCCTTGAAAACAGCACACATCCGCTCGTTCTCGTCTCGTAAAGTATGTGCATTGGAGCGTGTTATCGAATACGATCTTCGGCCAAAAATGCCGGAGTTGCGCATCATGTTGTTTAATGTCATTGAGTAATCAAAGAAAAGGGCTATTTTTTTCATATCGATAAAATGAACAACAATAACATAATCACAATCGGTCCATTTCATGTCCAATAATAATAATTCGACCGGCGATTCCCATTAACCCTCTCCGGGAATGCGTAACACGTATGCAACAACATATTGTAAACTAGCTATCACTCACATTTTCTGCCGTAGAATGCTTTTTTCTACTCAGCGTACTACTGCGGTACTTAGTTGGTTCGATGCAACTGCTATTTTGCATTGCCGCCGCCTGATGACGCTGCAAGCGTCTCTTGCAAGATGCGGTCTCCGGTGCTCGTGTCAGGCTGATGAACCATGGCGATATTTTAACTATACCAATTTTTATACACCGAATTCGTCATATCTCAGCACGGGGCAAAAGAATAGTGTATACACAACAACACAAGCTTTACAAACTGATTGCAACCTCGAACGATTTATGTGGTTTCACGAGGGGGTGGTTTAAAATTGGTGTTGCATAGGTGCAACATCTTCCCTCAGAAGGGGATTTCGGTTGTTAAATTACCTAATATTCGTCTGTTTAGTTTTGTCATTTATGTTGGCTTATTGAGCAGGTAACGTAATTTATGAGTTTCCTATGTCATATAAGGTAGAATCAGCTTTATTAGGATGCAGTATTATGAGAATTTGCCGAGTAGGGGAAAATTTAGCTTCAGATAATTTTGTTGTAAACGGAAGATTTAGAAAGCGTGAAATAAAGTATGCGCGAGTGATATGTTTCAGATTTAAAACCAAATAAAATCCAAGTATTTTAGCCATAAATACGGGGTTAAAATAATAGAGAAGTGTCTCAGATTGATTCAGATTTTCTATTCGTATTCTCAGCGATCTAGCAGAACGATTGTAAATATGCCGACGGGTAAAATATTTGCAGAAATTGCGTTGAATTAGCGCGTATTTCTAATGCCACACTTTCAAATAAAGAGGCAATTGAGACTTACAATTATGAATATGATGAGGCTGATCTTGATAAAACACGTAATTTCCAGAACGATATTTATGTAGCTAAGATTTTGAGCCTAAAAAATCAGACCGTTTCAGCATTTTGACTGTTGGATTTTATATGGACAGACAATAGCAATATAAAAACAAATCCAAAGTTGAAACTTACTCGTGTTTTGAAAGTCCGATGGCGGCGCCGTTCACCCAGACAAACAGAAACCTAATATAATGTTCGAGGGAGCACAGTTTTTCTTTTGCTCCGAATTTTTGACAACACCATAAAGATATTGCAATCCACTCATAAACCAAACTATACTAATTGTGGAGCAAAACAATTAATGTATACACCAAAACGAAATTTCCCTGAACACAAATGCTGCAGAAAACTACCGCTGGCCGTGTTTTTTTATAGCGTCTTCCAGAGTGGGGGCAAAGTCGGTCGATAAATTCAAACGAAAGTCTGAAGTAGAAAGAGAAGACATTCAGTCCAAAAAATATCGAAATCGTAAAAATGTAAATTAACACACAAATTGCTAAAGATTTTTCTGCTACCAAAAAACTTGGTTTCTAACTTTTCGCATCGTAGCGTAATCAAAATGACTTTCACGCTAAAAAGTCGTTATCTGATAAAATACGTAACAGTAGATAAATGCAAAATTATTTCGATGTAAAAGCTAGATTTTCTATATTCTTGCATTTTAATATATATGGAAATTCAAAGTTTCAAAATAATTTTACAGAAATAGGTAAACGAAAGTGTCAAGGGACAACTCATATGCATTTTCTACATATTTTGACTTGCCAAACTACCTAGAGTGCAAAAACATGATCTATATTAACATTTGTTTACATTTCAATGCGCCTTTTATTCATAATTGAAGTTTTGCATTGAGCGATGAAATAAGTTTGACACTCCCATTAATATTTTCAATCATCGTAGTATATATACTGCTGGCCATGTTACAAAGTATTGCAGATTGAACAACATACATGTGCTATCTTAGAATTAGTCCTTTCCGGGCACAAGTTGCATTAGTGCAACATCCGGTAAATCCCCCCAGGGAGTCGGAGTGTCGAAAAATTTTAATTTTTTTTATCATATATGACCTAAAAGTATTGCTTTCACTAAATATCAGATTTTTCCCACTGCTAAAAGATAAAGGGGCCCAGAGAGGGTTAAGGCACGTGACTCTTGGTGTCAATTTCGAATGGCCTCTTTCAAAGCAGTCTCGTTGTTGTGTACTACGCCCTGCTGCTGCATAGGCCGATAGACAGCTTTACTTGGTTTTGTCGAGTGATTTTTAAATAAGTTGGCTACATTGGTTGAAAGTGGGATGGTATAGATGCGCTTTGGTCATAACAGGTGTAGCGTCCTGAACGCTAAAAGCAAACTAGTAGCAGACAATGCGTAGGTATTTGACTCTGTAGCGGTACTGCGGTAGAAAGAATATATTGCAGCATTTTCTGATTTCAATGTCACCCTATCCAGTTACCGTATCAGGCTGAATGGACTTAGGCTAAATATTAAAATAACGTTACAATTTCCGATTTCAGAAATGCATAAACTGTTTAAGTGAAACTACAGAACTAGCAGAATACAAGAATATCTGAAGATGAAAATAGTGAAGCTTATAGCACTTTTCACTCTGATGAGAAGTGTCCAGTTCTGCATTGCGACTCACTGTGATGTCAACCTTGAAAAGTAATACTGTAATAATCATGAGTTTTAACATTTACAGATCGATGTGGTTGCTTCTTACTGACATATTTATTTTGAGCCATTGTAATTTCAGAATTTATTCATACCTATCACAGTAGCCTATATTAAATTGTGGGGTCTTGTGTAGTTTCGTACCTCAAGTACTTCTGGTGGGCATAGGACAGTAGGATAGGGTATGGTGGTTTACGTAACCGCTGGTCGGTTACGGCTTCCTCCACCATCAAGTCCATATGTATGTATGTATGTATGTATGTTTATTCGTCTCGTAAAAGCAATATAAAAGAGTAAGTACTTATAAATACTGAAGACGGGATGTATGCACAAGACCATATTGGCCTAAAACACAGATGTGCGGCATACACCCCTTTGATTTATATAAATTATGTAAATCCTAGTGAAGTAGTGACATAATTTTGGATGACGTAGTCAGGTGGAGGTTGGAATTGACATATGTAAAAATAGTTATGCCACGCCCACTAGAAGTACTTGGAGTACGAAACTACACTAGACATAAATCTAAACATATGTCCAAAACACAAGAAACACAAGAAAAAATTAATAACTTTTGCACTAAAAAGTTTTCAACCAATTATGTTGGTGGAAAAAAATTTTAAACAGGTGATAACACGATTGATTTAGACTATATTACCATCGCGACAGCCAACAAGCATTGTCGCTGCAACAAATCGTGTGTTCGTTCTATTTAATCAAATATTGAGGAAACATGCTCAGTGCTCACCACTTTTATTTATTTGTAGGAGAATTGATTGTTTTCCGGAAAGTTCTCCATTGCATCAAGAAAAATGTGAACAGCGAGGATGTTGCTATAATCCCCGTCATTCCCAGCATGCAAACGACGGTGTTCCCTGGTGTTTTTTTCCATCTGATTATACAAACTCTTATTTGCTAACTGACTTCCAGGTAATGTGCAATAGGCGTAAACCTTTTGATATCCAATTGCCATTTTGTTAACATAGTTGATCATTATCAACTTGTTGATCGACTTAGGCATGATTCAATTTCTTGTTTGTACATTGCCATCAAGTAGGAATTTTAATGAATGTAAATTTTTTGGTTAAAATGTCATGGTTCAGAAAGTATCGCTCGAATTTAGGATATGTGACAAGTGACAATTTAAATAATTCGATATTTGAAAAAAAATACCAGATATCAAAATGTTGATTATGAGAAGTTGGAAAATAACTGATGAACATTGATTATTAAAAATCTAGACTTTTTTATTTACACTGATTATTACTTATTGGCAATTTCATAATATGCTGATTTCACACCTCCTGTATTTATACCTTATGTTCTATATGATATTCAGCGATGTTTGAATTTTGTCTCTTATACATAGAACTGGGGTGACACTAAATCAGCAAAAACTGAAGTCTGGATTCATCATTGTTCATTCTTTTAGACTGAAGTTCCTATTAAACCTTAATTTAATATTAAAATGAGTCTTCAATTCAACTGTACAAATAACTCGTATTGAGTACCAGCACTAATTTGATCTGATATCTTGAATGTGTGATGTATTGATATGAAAAACCATCACAATTATGAAATTTGTTTTTTATTCTAGGAAACGAATACAGGCTTCGAAGGGACTTTGAAACTTTCTTATTCTGCGGCATCTTATCCACCAAATGCGCTTCCGGTTCTGAAATTATTCATTTATCTCGAATCTCCTAATCGCCTCCATTTCAAAATTATCGACCCAGTAAACAAGAGATATGAAGTACCTATTGCTACTCCAAAGAGTGTGAAATCAGTATTACCACTTCTGTATGATGTCAATGTATCATTGAAAAATGAAAAGTTTTTTTTGAAAGTAGTAAGATCCGATACTGGCCTAACCATATTTGATACAAGTGTGGGACCAATTTTGTATGGAGATCAATATTTACAGGTACTTTTACTGTTTTATCATTCAATGTTTATTTTTTTTTATGAATTATAATTACTATGTTATTCATGTATAATTTTTCTAGATTTCTTCTAGTTTGGCATCTTCAAATATATACGGATTGGGAGAGCGCCATGGCAAATTACGTCCTGATGTATACTGGCACCGCATACCATTTTGGGCCGCTGACCATGCGCCAGGGTTTCCGCAAGGAGGGAACTTATATGGTGATCATCCTTTCTATATTGTTATGGAACCTGATGGCAAATCACATGGTGTGTTTTTTCTCAACAGTAATGCAAAAGAGGCAGAATTGCAGTCTGAACCTGCATTAACTTGGAGAAGTATTGGAGGTTAGCTTACAAGAATTTATTTTGACAATTATTATTCATAATCGTTGCAGGCCTCAAGTTTCACTATTTTTGTAACTGTTTACTTTGAATGCTTTTTTGCTGTATGCACCTATTTTTTAGGTCATATGAGTAATTATCATATGTTACTGTGTTGAAATGAAAATTCATGCACATTGCCACATTACTTACAATGGAGCTGTTTGTTGGCACAATGTAGGCTATAACAAACAATACACAATAGCTTGAAAATTGTCACATGGTATTATTATCAGCATTATTCCAGAAGTGGTCATATTTTATTAAATGAACTGTTGTAACATTGTATTCATTACATTGAAAGAAAAATTAATCATAAAATGATTTTATTCATTCAAGTAATCTCAATTAAGGCCAATAAACTTGAAATTCTTACATGTCAATATGAGTAAACACAGTTTTGACAAGACGTCCCGGATTTGTCAACAATTTCAGCTGTGGCATGAAATTACAATGCCACATGCACAAATGTTAGAGAGAGTCCACTCTCTTGTGCAACATGCGATACTACCATACTAGCACTTTGGTATTTATGTAAAGATTCTGAAAAAAACGGTTTGTGAGTTTCTTTGCTTCTGAGTTAGTGGTTAACTTTTCTCTCATCTGACAAAATTGCACATAATGAACATGATTTGAATAAGACATTATATCACAATTCACAGATCTTAGAACACTAAAACATAATTTATTATTTTAATGAGACCTTGTGATGCATTAGGCTGCCTATTTATGTATAACTTATACTCAATTTTAGAATCTTCACTTCAATATATTTTTTTAAATTTTGGTTACATTGCAATATTTGTTTTGCAATTCAACTAAAACTGAATGGAATCATCATGTGATATTTACTGTTCTGTATCACAATATGTCAATATTGTTTGTCTTGTCAAATATTCATGCCCAATATCCAATTCATCAATTCACAAGTTGCCATCAACATAAGCAAATGGAATCTTAAATATAAATATTCTAATATGTTTTTTCACACAACATTATTGACTTATATCAATATTAATATTTTACATAAGATATATTTCAGAGCATTGGCTAGTTAATAAATTTATTCTTATAGTTAATATCTCATACTTTTTTCAAACAATTTTTATAATTTTAGTTCGAATGTACCTGGGTGAAGCCTTGCTTTCGCCAGACTTGTATCAAAAGGAGTCAATAATTTCGTTAAGATAATTGCTTTCGAAAGGCTATATGAAACATCGTTTTCTAAACACTGTTTTAATTTTTTTTCGTTTGATTTTGCACATATTCCATTGAATATAGAAATTGGTTTTGATATCTCATCAAGGGGGCAGATTATATTCTTCAATTTTGATACTTTTTGACTTTTTCGTATAAAAATGATATTTCTTCTTATTTAGGCATTATGGATTTTTATATCTTCTTGGGACCAAGTCCAGAAGAGGTTATTCAACAATATACAGATACTGTTGGTCGTCCGTTCATGCCCCCAATGTGGTCACTGGGTTATCATCTGTGTAGATGGGGTTATTTAACAGCAAATACCACATTGGATTATGTAGAGAAAATGAGGGAAGCAAGAATACCACAGGTGACAAATTGTTTTATTTTTTTGGGGGATTCAATATTGTATTGAGTTGAGAAAATTTTGTTTGAAACGTTTATCAAATTTCGTTAAAATGGGTATACATGGTAACCATTGTATTTAAGTAATATGAAATGAAAAATAGGCAATAGAATTATTATCAAATCTTACCTCTTGTGCATGGCTAAAACTCTACCACACATAATTATCTTAAATATCTAAATAATTCATTGTTATCTATTCAGGATGTACAGTGGAATGACATTGACTACATGGATAGACAATTAGACTTCACATACAATTCAACAACTTTTTCTACATTGCCTTCTTTAGTTAAGAATTTGCATTCTCATGGACAACACTATGTAATGATTGTGGATCCTGGAATATCTAGTGATCAACCGAAGGGGTCTTACTCTCCTTTTGATGATGCTGTTGCGTCACATGTACTTGTTAAAGATTCTGTAACTCAAGAACCTGTTAATGGAGTCGTATGGCCTGGTAATGTTGTATTTCCTGATTTCACCAATCCTGCAACTACAGAGTATTGGCACAAACAACTTTCAATGTTTCATCAGTCTGTTGAATTTGATGGTGTTTGGATAGATATGAATGAGTATTCAAATTTCCAGGATGGCTGTCCGAAGCAGTGTTACAAAAACAATACGTATGACTACCCACCTTATGTACCAATGGTCACAGGGGGAAGTTTATTCTCCAGAACAATATGTCCGTCTTCATTGCAATATGTTTCTAACAATTACAATGTTCACAGTCTGACTGGTCTATTTGAAATGAAAGCAACAAGTGAAGCTTTGATTAAAATTCGAAATAAGAGACCATTTGTTATATCAAGATCAACTTTTCCAAGCTCTGGATTGTACGGTGGACATTGGACAGGGGATATAAAAAGTACATGGGAACATATGAGACTCACGATTTCAGGAATACTTGGATTTAACATGTTTGGTATTCCTTTAGTAGGAGCTGATATTTGTGGCTTTGGAGGAAAAACCACCATTGAATTATGTACAAGATGGAGCCAACTTGGAGCTTTCTATCCTTTTAGTCGTAACCACAACGATATCAACGGATCTCCACAAGCTCCAGTTGATTTCCCAAAATCAACGCAATCAATAATAAGGAAAGCTTTATCTCAAAGATATACATTTCTTCCATACTTGTATACCTTATTTCATATAGCACATACCTATGGTGGGACTGTAGCAAGACCTTTGTTTTTCGAATTTCCCACCGACACTAACACATATGCAATTGAAGAGCAGTTTTTGTGGGGTCATAGTTTAATGATATCACCTGTTTTGTATCCATCTATGGACTCGGTGAAAGGATATTTTGCAAAAGGATTGTGGTATGATGCTTACATGGAAATGGGGAAGCCTATTTCGTCTGAGGGGGAAATGTTTATGTTGAACGCACCTATTGATTCCATTCCGCTTCACATAAGAGGCGGATCTATATTACCATTATGCGATCCTGACATAGTAACAAGTATGGCTGGACCGTTATTTTTAATAGCAGCTGCTGATGAGCATGGAAAAGCAAATGGCTCAATTTTTTGGGATGATGGTGACACATTAGGCACATACCCAAATGGAGAATTTGTGTTTTTCAAATTCGACATGAGAAACAACACCTTATCTGGCAAACTTGCGAAAGGCAGTAAAAGTCTTTCAATGAAAATGGAGATGAGTAGAATCTTGATATATGGTTTGCAGTGCCAACCCACTGAAGTGACTTTTAATGGACAAAGTGTTAAATTCGTCATGGGATCATATAATGATTTAACTGTAAATTTGTCTCATGCTACTTTCCAGGATTCTTTCATATTGGAATGGACTTGTGCTTAAACAGATTTGAAAACATCCACCGTAGAACCAAATCAGCTTATGTCACACTTTATGAATTTTTTAGAAATTATGTTTTTGCAATAGTTTGCTTCTAACAGCCAAACCCAAAAATAAACATAAGGCACTGCCCCAAAATTAAAACTAAAACAAGTACAGCTATGAAACCCAGACCAAATCATGGCCACTGCTCCATAATAAAAGAAGATAATAAAAGAAGATTTCTGGAAAGTGTGACTTGAGCTACTTCGATTTTAATGTGGCGACTTATTATTAGAAAAGTGTTAAACTTTCTAGATATTGATCTTATTACTGTGAGAATAATTCAGAAAGATATTCTTGGCTTTCTTTAAAAGTATTTGCCTAATATCATGCTGGATATAGATATTATCATGACTTCATGAGTGAAGCTAACTAATTATTATTTTTTGTCACATTTCATTCACAATTTTTATGCCATATTATATTCTCACCATGTTTTCCTATTTTTCACTTCATATTATGCGATGAACTTACTACATTATGCATTTAATGCTTCTGATTTTTCGTGTGCAATTTTCCCTATTTCTTGTTCAATACGTCTGGTTTGAGAGTAGTTGCAAAATGAGAAATTTAGGAGTTCACTGTTATTTTTTACTGTGATGATCATCCCGCCATATTAATGCTTTCAAATAAAATATACTTATCTGCAAGTCAAAAATCGATTTGTCTAGATCTGACATTGGCAGCCTACGCCCCGCAGGCCAAATCTGGGCCGTTGGGTAATTCAATCTAGCCCGCCTGATGCTGCCACTGCCAAACTAAATTTCGATGCTTTGGCTAATAAAGCTAAGGAATTTGTTGAGATTGCGATTATCCCGCAGGCCAAATCTGGGCCGTTGGGTAATTCAATCTAGCCCGCCTGATGCTGCCACTGCCAAACTAAATTTCGATGCTTTGGCTAATAAAGCTAAGGAATTTGTTGAGATTGCGATTATATTTAGTTTTGGCACGACTCGCACGAGGCTTATTGTTTTCCACTTTTGCTTTGGCACCACTGTATATATATTGTTCATAAAATGAACATCTTTACATGGCTCTCCAGTCTAGGTGGGCAAAATTTTTGCCCCTGGTTAAAAACACCTTGCCCACCTCTGGTTTAGACTGCTTTTTTGTTACGTATAGCCTGCCCATTTATTGGTCTTATGAAACAGCACATAAGCCCAAAGTTTGGAATTTGTGTTTCCGATAATGTTTATACTAATGCTTTGTAAAATATCCATTCTTATGAATAAAAGTAAAAGTGTATTTCTATTTAATAAATGTTAAACATTATACCAATGGGAATAACCATAATCTTTCGAGTATAGTTTCTGCCATTGATATATAATTAAACTAATGGATTTACTTCGAAATGCCAATGATTTTCATTTCATTTTTTTTTTCATTTAAAGTATATTATTGCTGTTGTAATAATTCTTTTTTATTAATGAATTGCATATATTTGATTGCAGATATAGTACAATATGTGTTGATAATTTAATTCTGATAAATAGTTACAGTTATAGCTGCTATTACTGGATTTTCGTCTACTTTGCAATATTTATAAAAAGTGCAATGAGTGATCGAGATTTATTGATTGTTGAAGAAAACGAAGTAACATCATCAGAGGTATGTTTTATTAGCTTGTTTTTTCTTTAAAGAATTATATATACCATTCCAGCCTAATGCTACACAACAATATCACCGTCAAATAAGTTTTAACCCAGGTTAAAAACTGCCTGCTATTCTATAAAACTGAACTTCTTTGTCTTTCAAGTCTTCTTGTCCAGGAAAAACAAACTTTGGAAAAATATGACTGAGTTTAGAGCTAAGATATTGTTGACCTTATATAATAACAATCAACGAATAATAAGCTAACACAGGGGTGTACAACAAGGAAAATCGTGTGGTCTGCAGAGAAGTAACAATTTTAAATGGTTTGCGCCCACTAAACAAGTTTTTAATTTAGTTTAATCTGGTACTTGCAAGTAATTCCAATGTCTTAGCTACAGCTAGCCTGTGCGAAGCGAACAATGCATGTCATATAAGATCAATAACCAAAATTTTTGTGTCTGAACCTACTAGAAACCCCATGTTAAATAAATGTGCAGTCTGTGGTTTCACCCAGTTATTTTTATCTGGCCCTCCTGTACAAAATGTTGCAAACTCCTGGGCTATCATAAAGAACTGAAATACCTTCATATATTGTACGGTACTTGAAATTGTTCTGATGTTTCAATTATATTGTGAATTCAAATATTTTTCATTAATAGCTTTGCTATCCCTGTTTATTAACAGCAAATAGTATACCGCGACAAAAGATATTTCATTCAGGTATCGTAACATCATTTGACCCTCTTTCCTTACCTTTTCATGCTCTAGAGGTCATTGATGACATGTTGAAATAAAAGAAATATCAATAAAATTCCTTTTGTTTTTGAGATTCGTTATGTTTTTGTAGTTTTAACAATGCAGTCCTGATATTTGATACATGATTGTTTTTCATACCTCATGTTATGAAATGTTATGTATTGCTATATTACATTCGCTGCTATTGTTCAGATTGTATAGATTTTAAGGTCATAGAATGATAGGAAGCTATTTTGATTTAGTTGCAGAAGAGTAGGAAACAAATAATTAGGAAGCGGAGAAATGATAATAAAATGTGAAATTTTCAAAGATTTAATTGTGTTGAATAATTGCAATTTGTATGATATTCAAATCATTGAAAAAAGTTGGAGATTAAAGAAATGTTTAAAAATGAATTATACAAATTAGTTGCTTTCCATAGTGATAAATGTTTCCGGCGAAGATGCAACTTAAAATCTTTATATTGCTGTTGTCAGTAGTAAGAAACAAATATTATTGTCCGATTTTTGGTCAATTGTCAAAAGGACCTCCTTCGTTGATATTTAGTGCCTGAAGTTGCTCTTGTTTCTTACGCGAAAGATGATTCAGCGTACTGTAGTTAAATATGCTGAAAATTCGTTTCGTAGTGTAATAAGGCTTAGTAAAATCTCTCTCAATTCTTCAAATTAATCTGGTGTTGAAAAAGTAATTACAGGAATCTCGCCAGCATGGATCAAGAAACCAAATTTATTGTAAGGAGTAAATTATTACATAGTAGCAGTTAATGTTGATGAAATAATGTCTTTTTAAAATTATGTCAATTTGAATGGTGTTATAAAGAGAAGATAATTTTATCACAGAAAAAGTATAACTGATAAACAACAGAGCTTAAAGTATTATTATGAACTGAAAATTGTGGGCCTGATGGCATAGTAGTTAAAGTGTAAGACTCAACTGGGATGCCATCACCGGTTTGAGTTCAAATCCCACGCCCGCCACGCTATCCAGGGTGTAACAAATTGGGTAGGCGATGACGAACTGAAAAAATTTCAGTATTTCCGAAAATAGTAGTTCTTTGCACATCGTCAGATGAGTCGCTGCTTGTCCAGCGCCTTGTGAGTAAAAGGCGTAAAAGAGCGTCACATAAAAATAATTCTTCATCAAACAGTCCAGGTTGGGTATGAGATTTAATATAGTTATCCATGTTTCTAGTTTTTCTAGCAAACAGTAACCAGTACTGTTTTGATGATTTATACTTTTATATTTTTCGTTGTGTAGGATGAAGAAGAGAATCCAGAACGAGTGCAAGTTCGAAGACCTAAACAATTGAACAAATACAGTTTTCATCAATTAGAGGTATATTGAATATTGTGGATTTGATGTTTTTCACAATAGAGCACATCTAGACATGCTGCAAAATCAATAACTAATTATTTAATTAACATCTGGAAAAATAGAAGTGTTTTCATTTATGTGTTTGTCTTTTGAACAAATCAGCCCAAACTTGATGTATTCACCAGAAAGACATTTAATATTTCTATCGATATTCTAACGTGTAATCTGAATGGGCCAAATTGTTTTTATTTTTGTTAGGCATTGGATTATGATACAATTGAAAATCAACTACATATTGAAGAAGAGAGTGTTACATCAAAACAGGTTAAATTACTCCTATTTTTTCTGCATTAATTGAAAATTTAGTGCTTCAAAATTAATCTTATATATTTCAATAGCAATGGGCCTGTATTCGAGCACAAAGATGGTTGATTTGTATCATCATTGGAGTTATGACAGGGGTTGTTGCTGTTATTATCGATATTTCTATTGATCAACTGGCAACTTTAAAGATGAATACATTGGAATCTTGTAAGTTTTAAAGTTATCAGTTTTATACCAGTAATCTGACATGGACGGGTAACTGGGTGGGAAGCGGTGGTTTGCCATATGATAAATTGAGGTGTATTATTGCCTTTCCTCTACCCAGTGAAAATATTCCAATTGTATTATACCATACATTTATACTATCAAAGTTTATTTGTCAGTGATGATTTAAGACTGACAAAATCTGAATTTGATTTTACTTAACAAATTCTCATTTTTTTCTGAAAAGGAGTCAATAATTTCATCAAATCAAAAAATTTAAGTCACTTCGAAGATTGAATAATTGCTTGAATTAGAATACGAGAAGAATATTATTTGTTTTTGCTGCCTAGATATTCATATTTCCAATGCAGATTTGATTCCGATGGTGGCGATTTTTTTATTAGGAATGAAACACTTCTTTGAATATAGCAATGGTTCAAAATTCTTTCATCACACTTTAACAAATTGTATTCTTCAACATTCTATCAGACCAATGCCATGCTTTCTCAAGCAAGAGATTCGCAACAATCATAGAATATATTGAATGGCACTTAGCATTAGGTATCATCAATTGAATATATTCCAATAATTATCTATTATATTTTTTATGCCCTCAGTGAAAGATTTTGATCTACTACATCAATTCAGAATTGAGATAGAAAATATCTAAAATAAAGTGTTTGTCATAGTGTTCTGGGTGATCGTAGACTCTGTCAGTCTTTCATTTTCATATGACAAGTTGATTTGAGTGTTTCAAATCATTAAAAACTATAAATACTTATGTCATGTACAGTAACAGGTTTGGTAAATTTTCAGCTATTAAAGATTGCGTTCAATCAGATTGTCTCTGGAAACCATTGCTAACATGGATTGGTATAAATGCTGGTCTTGTGGCATTTGCAGCTTCCATAACAACATTCTTGTCTGTAAGTTTCAACTAATTGATAAGTTGTGATATTTGAGGTAGTTCAGGTTATTCTATCTTTATATAATACATGTATTTAATGTTTTAACATACTCATTTTGAGATATAGGCTACGCCTTCTCAACCATGTTTCTTTATATTGAATTTAACAATTTTTCTTTACTATTTGAAATTGACAAAATCGATAGTTTATTACAAAATTTGTGCAGTCTATTCACAGTTTTATTTTATTAATAAAAAGGTGTTGCTTGACATGCATGCATATCGCTTATAATTTTCAAACATTTAGAAAATAGCAATTGCTCCCTCTGGTTTTTACAATATTTGAATAAATGATAGTTGTTAACTAATTCATATTGACATATGTATCAAATTTAGCTTGTTATGACTGATATAATGGGATGACTATTTTGTTTTTAGCCTGTAGCAGCAGGAAGTGGAATACCTCAAATAAAATGTTATTTAAATGGAGTAAAAGTTCCAGAAGTGGTTAGACTAAAGACATTGTTTACAAAAGTTGCTGGTATTATCGCTTCTGTGTCTGGAGGTCTTGCTGTTGGAAAGGTTTGAATCTGATCATTTTACTAACAAAGGGTCTTAAAATGTCATTCAAATTTACTGAAAAATCTTTTTCAGTTCCTATAGTCGCTAGTTTTCGACTAATTTTATAAAGAAAATATCAATTTGACAATTTTTCAATCTATAAGTTTTGTTATTTCTCCACTGAAGTCTTTTTTGGAACAATCGGTGCTGAAAAAGAGCTGACATTCCAGCTGATAATGTTATATACAATCCACTGCTGATGATAACCGAAAAATGCCATGACAATGATTGCATTCAACATAAATGAGCCATTACGTTAATTCATAATGTTTTTATCCTAATTACAATGCAATACAATTTATTCAATTAGAATAGAAAAAGGATTGAACATATTTAACAATGAATAGACTTTATTTAATCATGCGTCGGAATAAATTTGTGGTGGTCTGATTTGAAATCAACAATGGATAAAAGGTCCTATTGCAGATGAAATAAACTGTTTTCCATCGTTCGTTGTCATCTTTAATCACCATTCATTCACCTTCCTGCTATAGGTCAATAAAGCAGAAAGCCCTGAATAATCACAGAAAGTACTGTATTTTGATATTCTTTGTTGTTTAATGTTCCAGAAATGTTATCAGATTTTTTCTCACAAATTTTTCAAAATGGACTATTTTTTTTATACAGGAAGGTCCCATGGTACATTCAGGGGCTGTGCTCGGTGCGGGAATATCACAAGGTCGTTCTATGACCACTGGGTTGAATACGCCATTCTTCACACATTTCAGAAACGACAGAGAGAAAAGAGATTTTGTTTGTGCAGGTTTGTCGATTTTTTAATATATTATGCCTAATAATTGATTAAGTTTTGTCAATGTTTTTTAGGATTGTTGTCTAGAGAAATTCACAGGTTACTAATATGTACTGGCTTATCTAATCTTTTTTTACGTTGATATCGTAATAAAATGAGATGCCAAAATTTGGCACACACAGCTTTAGGTGCCATACTAATATGACGTTTTGTAAGGAATATCAGATTCCCGCCCTAATAAGGGTTATGAGCACTCGTTCATTACATAGCCTATATTGAAACTTACAAAAATGGAGTTTCCTCAAAACTTTAAAATGTAATATAGCTAATTTGGTTCTATTGCGGCCAAATAGCCGCATGTACAGCTAGGTATGCTATAGAGACAGCTGATTTAGAGTCAGCGAAAGCATGTTTAAGCAGATATTTAAATCAGATAAATCAAGTTGTTAGGAGAAGTTCTGTCATCAAATTTTGGGCAGATGGAAGTAGGCTTCCATCTCTCCAGTCTCCATATCAAGAAATCATGGAAAATTTGTATAAAATGTTTCTATATTAATTTTTCAGGAGCAGCTGCCGGTGTGTCTGCTGCATTTGGAGCTCCAGTGGGTGGAGTATTATTTAGCTTAGAAGAGGCTGCAAGCTTCTGGAATCAAGCTCTAACATGGAGAATTGTAAGTAAATACAAACCTCAATCATTTCTGTGTATTTGATATGTATTGTTTACAAAGTAAAACTGTGTAAAATTGAATTATGTTGCATAAAGCAGCTGTAAGATGATAACTTGAGCAAAAATTTCTTATCTCCTCCTACTATAACAATGCAAACTTTTTTTCAAGCATTATCTTTTTCTTATCTTTTTTATTTATTCTTTCAAATCATGTGCGGGATTATACCGGAATTTCTGAACCCCGTGTAATTTATTCAATCCAAATCTATGCATATGGAATTGTTAACTAGTTGTGTATTCGAGTGATATAGCTTCGCCCCTGGAATAATGATCCCATGATATAAGGTATGCTTCGGAATGACCCAAACTGATGTAATATTGTAATTGATTGTAAATTCTTGATTTTAGAATAGTTTTACTTTAAGCTATTGAAATTTTAGGTATGAATGAAAATGCTTTCTTTTAAGCTGTTAAAAAAGCAAAAGCAATCAAATTGTTGATCAATTTAATCTTACTTCCTATTCAACCCCATTTTTAATATACAATTCAGATTATTTGGTTTAGGCCACCACTGGTTAGACTTAGGATTGCTGGTATAAATATGAAATCTACTTTGTTAAAAAACGAATTTTGCTACTCAGGAATGGCAAAGACTAAAATACTATTTTTCAAAATGTGTTTTTTTTTTCAGTTTCTTTGCTCAATTTTGTCGAGCTATACTTTGAACTCTTTACAAAGTTTGTATCATGGTCATCCAGGCGATCTTGCATATCCTGGCCTGATTAATTTTGGGAAGTTTTCAGGAACATACGTGCCCACAGATTTGTTCATCTTTTTCTTTATGGGCGTTATCGGTAAGTGACAATTTTGATACACTGTCTTTGCATCATCATAACAAACTGTTTTGGCAGTTTTGTGCTTGGCACATCATGCTAAGCCTTAGGAATATGCTTGCCATTGTACCTCTGATTACCCTGCACAGATTTGCAGGATTGAATCTCATGGGGGATAATTGCATTGCTGGACTCCTCGTCATTGTAGGGTGGTGCGGTTATGTTTTCTCTGCCACTACCTCGATGCACCCAAATAAATAACTGGCTAACTAATCCCATATTTCGAGATAGACCGTTGTCTGGTTGAAAGGACATAGTATGCCATATGATTAAACTGTCTAATCGGCTGTCCTCTCCCATAGGAATAAATATGAGAATTCTGTCCTCACTGACGTAGTTAGTATACTGTTTACCAAATGCTTAACCTTTCATCATATGTGGCAAAAGGATAGTGTTTATTCTAGCATATTTAATGACATTAGAAATTAGTTGATATAAAAACAATTAACTTTGAATCAAGGTGTCTTTCTTTTTTATGATAGTTTTCATGGTACTATTTTGTTTCTAGGTGGTCTATGTGGAGCTGCTTTCAATTCTTTAAATATTCGTTTAATGAAATTTCGCTTGAAATATGTAAGATGGAAATGGTTGCAAGTCATTGAAGCATCTGTCGTGGCAAGTGTATGTGGCACAATAGCCTTCTGCATGATGTATTTCAATATTGAATGTAAACCACTGGGTCAAGATCCAACAATGAAATTACAGGTGATTCAGGTTTAAGCCATGAAAATATTACAGAATGTGTTGCATCTCTTAGTACTGAAAAGTTCAAAGAATGGATATCCGGTACAGTACACAGTTAAACTAAATATAATACACATATTTTAATGTTTTATAGGTGAGGATTCTGTGTTGATATTTACCGGTACTTATATATGTTACTGAGCTATATCTATTGCTCCTTTGACCATTCGTTTATTTACTTTTACATATTAAACTAATTACCAGATGAACATTTTGCAATTATATTGATTCAAATGTATTAATTAATCTATCAAATGGATAATCTAATTTACAATTATACATTTTTAAAATATTTGCGAATTTAATTTCATTTGTCAAGCATTGACTCAACTCACTCAAGTTTACTGTTTGATTCGGGTTGCATACTAACGTGCTTTTTCCCTTCTAGTTTTTCTGCTCTGATGGAGAATATAATACAATGGCGACATTATTTTTTACAACACCTGAATCGAGCGTCAAAAGTCTATTTCATGACCCACTTGGTGAGATATACGTTTTTATGTTTTGAGAATAACCACATATATTTTGATTTATTCCATGGTTGTTCCTAATTATCAAATTATTTTTACTTACCGATCTCGATTGGTAAGTATGTTGATGGTATTTGTCTGTTAGATGCACGCGATATCTCACGAAAGCGAGGTTGAATCCGCTCCAAATTTTGCATGTGCATTTAGCATATCGCAGACCAGAAGCCTATTGATTTTGGATGAATTATGTCGTATAATTAGCGAGTTAATAATCAATTAGTGATGGGACACACGGTGTTGCTATGGAGTATGAGCAGATGAATTGAAACCACAGTTTCTGTTTTGGGGGATCCCCTAACTTTCGATTGATAAGGTTTCGGTCTCCGACCAATATTCCGTTTGTTTGTTAGACACTTTCGTATATTACGCGATCTCGTGAAAACGAGGTTGAATCTGCTCCAAATTTTGCATGTGCATTCATCATATCTCGGACCAGAAGCCTATTGATTTTGGATGAATTATGTCATATAATTAGCGAGTTATTAATTAGTTATTAATGGGGCATGTGGTATTGAGTCAGAGCGAAGGAATCGAAACCGTAGATCGATAAGTTGGCGGTCTTCGATCGCTATATAGTTTTTATATTATCAATTTTGTTTCATTATTTCCTTCAAATATTCAGGTTCATACTCTGCTGTTACATTGATAGTATTTGTACTGCCATATTTTTTCTTGGCATGTTGGACATACGGACTCAAATTGCCCAGCGGACTTTTTATTCCATCGTTATTGATTGGGGCTGCATGGGGAAGATTAGTTGGGGTCATTGTCAATGCGATATCCCCAACCAGTTGGTGGACACAAGATTTGGCCAAATATTCACTCATTGGTGCCGCTGCTCAATTGGGTGAGTAATTGCTACAATTTGTATGTATGGTACAGTTGTTTTATTTGTGGAACTAAGTATTAGGATAAGATTTTCATATGTATCCTTGAGCAGAGGAAATGGATAAGGCGACCTAATCATATAGCGGCCTCTCGTCCAGTTAACAGTCCTTGTCAGCCAGTTATTTGCTTGAGGAGTCCAGCAATCATCCTCTTGCACACAATTAGCTTTCACAGGGTTCGAATCTATAAACCCAAGCAGGGTAATCAGAGGTGCGATGGCGAGTGTATTCCTAACGCTTAGCATGATGCGTCAAATGTCGAACCTGTAACGTAGCTTGGTGGATGAATAATGTTTTTTGCTAATATAAATGACTATTTTACAGACAGCACAGGCGCACAGCATTTGAAAGTATATTGGAGTCTATAATTAATTGCAAATATATATATATTTCAGGTGGAACAGTTCGAATGACCATCAGCCTCACTGTTATCCTTATTGAAGCAACTGGGAATATTTCTTACAGTCTTCCATTGATGGCAGTTCTACTTATTGCAAAATTTGTTGGTGATATGTTCAATACCGGAATATATGACATGCATATTGAGCTTGGTAAAGTTCCAGTATTAGAATGGGATCCACCACCACTATCTAGCAAAACAACTGTTAGGTATGATTAGTTGAGCTTTTATGTATCTTCTTCTTTTTGGGTAGGAATTTCATATTCATACTGAGGGAGCGGAAAGAGAATAAGATGGCCGATTCACATAGCGGACCATGACTCTCATCTGGTCACCAGTCCATGTCTAGTTTGATAATAGTTAACAATTTGTTTGGATCAGATGCAAGGCCAACGGATGGTGGAGGAAGCTGTAAACTACCAGTGGTTATATGAACCACCATTTGACACCGAGGAGTCCAGCAATCCTCTCGTACATAGTTATCTCCCACAGGAACCTGCGTACCCACCTAATTTATTTAAACTTGTGATGGCAACCTTATTCCTAACGCCTAGCACAGTGTGCCAATCGCTGAGGCAACTTCAAACAACACCATCTTTTGTTTTATTACACTGTGTTTGGATTTGTGTCGTTTAAAACAAATTTTAAATCTTGTTTTTGATCAGTTTTTACTTGCTTTTACAGTGAAGTCATGCATCAGCCTGCCATAACCCTGAATCTTCATTGTCGAGTTAAAGATATCATGGAGAATTTGTCAAGTTCGACCTCGAATCATGGTGGATATCCAGTGCAAGATGATCATGGAAAATTTCGAGGAGTGATTTTACGTTCTCAGTTGCTTATACTCATAAAACATAAGGTTTGTATAATACCGGTATTTGTAATCCATCAGAGAATATCAAATTTAACACAATTTTCCTTTTTTCAATGAATTCCCGCAGGTTTTTGTGGAAAGAACTTCAAATGGATCACCCTTATCATTATCAGTATTTCGAGATAGCTATCCAAGATTTTTCAGTGTCAATTTACTGAACGTTTCGGCAGCGGAACGTGAACTACATGTAGATCTTGAACCATATGTTAACCCTGCTCCATATGTTGTACATAAGGTAATTTTTTTTACGATATGGTATCATTATTTAATGGAAAGCTAATTTGCTTTTTTAAAATGATATGATTGATTTTAGTATTCATGTCATTGTTACACTTATGCCAATGTTTCATTTTAATTGTTATCCAGTTGCAAATTTAATTTCATCAGTTGAATTCTTCTTCTTATCAGAATTCATCATTTCCAAGAATATTTCGCCTATTTCGAGCCCTCGGACTTCGACATCTTGTTGTAATAGATGATGACTATAGTGTAAGTAGCATACGATTTTATATTTAGTATTTTGAATGAAAAAACACGATGTAACCATAATCGTGTCTTGGTTGAACATGATAAAAACAAGTTGCTATTGTGTGCAGTTGATTTTCCTGCTCATGTAGTTAGTCAAGATTGAAATTCATATAATATATATACAGATATATATACTGCAAACGTTAATTAATTCTGCCCTACAGAAATATATTATTTTATTTGAATAAGTGATATTTACTTTATCCCTTGCATATCGTTCATGGTAAGGTATAAGTTTATTAACACATCATCTTGGTATCATAAGTAAAAGTCCTTTGCAATTTTCTGTGATCCACCACCTCATCCAAAGAGTTACTTAAGGTAAGAGGCCAAATTAGGTATGCTGTGCTGAACTGGTTTTCTCTCATTCAGATCATTGGAATTGTGACGCGAAAGGATTTGTATAAGGCTCACAAAGCCAGAGAACATTCAAGGATTCCTTGCCATTAAAGGATTAATGAAATATTTGGTTTTAGTACATTATCAAGTGCACTGTGTTTGTTTTAAATTTATTATTTTGTAAGGCGTGAGTCAAATATAACCCTTGGCATAATCGCATGGTGGACTTGCACACTTTGAGAATAATCGAAGAATCGTTTAGATCAGATATAATAACATGTGGCTTTAATAATCGGGAGATGGTACACCATCTGAATTGTAATCATTGCATCTGTATTCTCCCTGTGATACGATATGTGCTCAAACCTTTGTCAGTGACATAAGCGACGTATTATTTTCGAATGATAACATCAGGATTCTGGGTGTAGTGCGTTTTCTGCGACTCCATTCATGCCCGTGAGTAATATATTAGAATGGCGTCATAAGAGGCTAAATATGAAAAAAACTTTTGAAGAGTGAAGACAATTAGTAGGTTAGATGTGTTGAATAAAATATCTGGATTATGTTCCTGTAAAAACTGTCTAGATCAGGGATGGTCTATCTTTTTGCTATTGCTTTTCGAATTAGGTTTATATATATATATTTATAGAGTGTTAAAAAAGTAACGCAAAATTTAATCTTCAAAAGTTTAAAAAAAAGGAACTCAAAATTTAGTCATCCACTGTGATGGCCGAGTGGTTAGGGCGTTGGAGTTATTTATTCTCGCGCGGGTTCGAATCCCGCTCGCAGCGACCCTCTTGCTTCAAACTTAAGAATGAGTCTCATTACGATGGAAGGATGAGTTGGCTTCTCACCTGCTTTCCTTGCGGCTTCTGATGCTTTATTTTCTGATGAGTAGTAATTTCTCACCAAATCAATCCTTTTTTTGACGGTAGACTTCACACGCGAAGAGAATGAATGTTTGCTAAGTGAATTGAATTTGCATGATAACTATGGTAACCAGGCGAAAAAAAAAAGATCCTAAAACTGAGTTTGTTGGAAGTCTGGTATGAAGAATTAGCTTTCGGTGTTAAAAGTTTAATTGGAATCGATTTCTGTGACGCGGTTTGGTGCAATGACGAAAAATTTCGACGATGTCCAAGTCGAATTTCATATCCGAATATCGCGATTCTCAAATATCGTTTTTAGTGTTTATAAGAATATTTTATATATTTCAACATAGTCGAGATAGTCTGGGTTACTGCGGCAATAAATCTAAAATCAAATTTTGTCGTAATTAATCTTTTTCATCCTTAGTTTCTATAGTGACCGAGCATTTCCTACATTTGCCCCGTATGAACTAGCTCTTGAATATCATTTAGTATCTATCGCAGATTTTATTTTTACACTGCCGTCATTAATATAGTTCAGTGCAAGTTTGCGGTATTAATTTATAAGCAATAATAAAAGCATAACAGTCGACGTGAAATATTCAAATCAGAACTGACTTGAAGAAAAATGAAACACGATTTTCAGTCTTAACTCTCCGTCTTTGGCGGATGGAAATTTGTGAATTGGGTCGACTCATTTGATTACCACGATAATCGCGTTATAAGCAAAACAAACAGTCAAAATTTGTGGGGGGAGGGATAATTGTGGCGGAATTTAGCTTACCGATGTCGATGTCACGCTGACGATAAACAGTCACAACAAGAGTTAGCCGCGACAAAAATCCGAATTTATGTTAATTTCACTGTTTAATTTGAATCATTTCTCTGGGCGCCTAGTTGTAGCTAATTTCAATCAACGAAAATATCGTGAATACCCATTTCCTGTGCTCATGGAGTTAAGAATGTATTTGGAATTCTGATTCAAAGATATTTTTTAAAATGTATTAGTCAAGTATTCGGTTGTGGCTTGGTATTATGGCTCTCCTTGGTATTATTACCACACTGGATCACAAGGCTCTGTGACATCGGATAATATAGAAAATGATCCCAATTATTACATAAGATGAGAGCAGGGTCGCATTGATACGTTGAGAGGCCCCATGCTATATATGCTGCTTGTGAGCCCCATCTCTAACAATGACGTAATTCGTAATAATTATTCTGATGCCATTTGGTCACTGCTTTGTCATTAGCAAAAACCTTCATTGAATTATCGTTTCATGCTCTCGAATTAGCCTCCAGTGCTTCGTTTTTGTGGTTTTAATTCTTGAAAATATGTGCAATTATACATTAAATTCGATGGGTAATGATGGTTTTATTTTTTTTGACAAACGTGTGTTTCGTTTCGAAGGCGAAATTTCGTTTCGATTTCGAAACACCAGTGTTTCGCAAATGCCCAGCCCTAATAAGAACATTATTATTTCGACACTCGGACGAGGCCGGAAACACACGTCATCGGTACAAAGAAGGCTATATGCACCAAGCTAGTGCTTGGAGCTGTCGCGGTATCTCTTAATCAGGAAAATTGCTCTAATGACTTATTTCCATGGAATTCAAAACATAGCCTACTACAGTATGAATTTTGAGGGGTTAAATAACATTAAAATCCATAGCTGCGATCCACATCCGCTACGCTGTTTCTATAATAGACTATATCAGTTTGTAAAACAATTATTGAACTAATTGGTAAGAATAGAAAAAATCCTTGTCCTTTTGTTGAACTTGATTGCAGTAGTACACAAATTGCAAATAAATTCAATGAAACCTTTTCGAAGTGGCACAAAGCTTGCTTGACGATATGCCTCAACCAGCTAGCGGTGATAAAAACCACTTCTCATATCTTGGGAAGCAAGAATTCTCACCCATGTTTTTGAGGCCTACTACATCATTAGAAATCGAAAACAAGCTCAAGTCAAGTTTTGGGATTGGTGGTATCCCATTCGAAATATTGAAATATGTTCCCCAACATATTATCAATATACCAGGCGTGTATCGCGCTTGGGCGATAAGAACGGTTTTATCAGCGACTCGAAATCCAAGATATATGTATTTTATTGGCAGCGCAAAGTAAATGTAACAAAACGCATTGTTTTGCGTTATAACTTCGTATTTTCGGAAACCGGGTGTAGTAAAAGGTAAAATTTTATCTAACGTAATCGCAAATAATGTTTTATCGTCCAACGTCGGGTACTCGGCATTTTCCGGGAGAACTCGAAAAGTCATTTAATTTAAAATAATGAATGTTTCACTATTACAAAAAATCAAGATTGTTGCAATCGGAAAATCGCCTGTAAGATGACAGTCGGCACCAATAATAAAATGGTGCAATAATGCCGTCTTCGCTTTCTGAATATTCAAGCTGAGATTACGGTGTTTGATGTCTGCCGCAAAGGCTAATGAGGGCTCTTTGGGAGAAACACAAATGTAATCACACCAGACCGAGATTTCTCGCGAGCTAATAACGCTCGTCGTGGCAGATGCCACGACCGCCTACTTTATCCTAATGTCGTACTTTATCCTAATGTCGCGAAATGTCGTAAAATGGAATCGGAAATTTCCATGCAACGGCTCCTGAAACGGTCTCCGCGTTGTGTTATAAATGCGTGCTTTTTCATATTATAATAAATTTTTCTGTCTCTTAATATTCAATCTATGACAACTAGAAGAATTCAAAATATATCTTTATTTTAATTCATTTGTGTCTATGTAACTCGCGGTGGCGGCGACTCACGACAAACTTATTACCGATCTGAAATACCACGCCAATCCGCGGACATAATAATGTGATATTAATAATAATCAATCAATCAGTAATAATTAACTGCTCGATTATATTTAGTTTTGATATATATTGCGCTCATGCGAATTCTTTATTGTCGTTAGAGAGATCTGGTATAAAATCCCAGAAAGTACATTTAATTTAGTACAATGAAAACACATATAAAGTATATTAGTATATGAAAAATACATGTTCATCGACTCGAAATCCCCGCGTTACGGCTTCTGAATCAGTGGTCGAGATTACGCCACTGATTCAGAAGCCGTAACGCGGGGATTTCGAGTCGATGAACATGTATTTTGCTGAATTTTTCAACGATTAAGTAATGGTTTTTCTGTTGAACAAAATATTCAATCTATGACCGATATACGTATTTGAAATGGTTGCTTTATTTATTTAATTGTAATAAATTAAATCTGCGATTGCGTCAATAAAATAAAAGCAAAATTACTCCGAAATACAACGGAAATCCGCGGACATAAAAATGTGCTGTAAACTGCCCGATTACATGTCGAGGAAAATTTCTGATAAACACCGAAATAACGATTTTTACGGCTTAAATAACACGTCACGCTGACGAAAACAATCGGTGATTTAAACAAAAATGGCATCGCAAACATCATTACCAACTTTGTTTTTCAGCGGTCAAGGGTCGGGGAATCGTCCACATGCATATCAACTTTTACAAAAAAAAAACTGCTTTCTTTTGGCTAAAAATGTACATAAATTCATTTACACTTATATATCAATTTTGTAAACTGCATTTTTGAACCTGGTGGTTGTCCAATCCAAAGGTATTGGTAGTGAATTTTGGAGACGTTAGGCATGCCAAGAAGTCTGTTATTGTTGTATGTTTCTGACACACAGTAAATAATTCTAGCATTGCTCAATAGTGATGAAGTGAACATTCGATTGACATCTTACGTGTCTTATATATATAAACGTTTAAGCAGAAAATACATTAACACGCAAAAAGCATACGTTTGTTGCGTGCTTAGTTTCACTTAAAACTTAGTTTACCTTTACCAGGTATTGCAAACAAAGCGGAAAACGGAGAATGTATGATGACCACTATTTGAGTATATATATATGGTGTTATGCATACGACAGAGAACAACGAAGTTGTACTCCGATGCGTTTTATGCCTAAAAAATCAGAGCAATGATGCTATGAGACTAACACTCTTACAGCGCCATCTTAATATAAAACAACTAGCGCATTACAAAAGCAGATTTCGAAAGAAAAAAAAAAGGGGGGGGGGGGGGGGGGGCGCGAAGTTTGTAAATTTTTTCAAAGGGGGGCGCGACTCAAAAAGTTTAAGAATCACTGCAGTAGACTATGGTATAAAGGAGTAGATAGTATAATATCAGTTTAAGCGAGTTACTAATTATTGCAACTAGGCGAGTAGTAGAGCTATATTAAATTCTCCTCTTCAAATTTTAATTTGCTGGGGGTCATATTAAGTTGATGTGGTTTTATATTATTTATGTAAGCATGTATTTTATGTTCAA